CTACTACTACTACTACTACTACTACTACTACTACTACTACTACTACTACTACTACTACTACTACTACTACTACTACTACTACTACCACTACCACTATAACCACTAGGACAATTCCTAAGATGGATTCCCTACTACTACTACTACGTACTATACGGTGAACTACCTAGTAGATCCTAAGACATTCCCCCGGACGCGGGATTCAACTGATTCCGCGACGAAAGAAAGCCCTTCTTGCCTATACACACACATATGTCCACATCTACATCCACGTCCAGTCCACGTCCAGTCCACGTCCACGTCCACTCACACTCACTCACACTCACTCACTCACACGCACACCTACTGTACGGATACGTTCGGTGAACGTAAACAGTACGGAGTCACTACGGACCGTCCTCACTCCGTCCTCACTCCGTCCTCACTCCGTCCTCACTCCGTCCTCACTCCGTACTAGCCTCGTGAGAGGGAGACGAACACTGAGCGCGCGGGGTCCCGAGCCCCGAGCCCCGAGCCCCAATGCCATACTATGCTACGCTACGCTATCCTGTCGTGAGAAGGATACGAACACGAAGCCCGCGGGCCCTGAGTCCCAGCTTCCTTGACTTGAAATCTCGTCCCGTCTTGTCGTCTTGTTTCAGTACTTGTCTCGACATTCTGGAGTTGGATCTTCATGTTCGGCCGGACAGTCGGCGAAGCCTAGCACCTAGTATACACTACGGAGTGTTTACTGTAGATACACCAGCCTAGCATACACCATTTGCTGTAGATACCCCAGGATCAACTAGTTGACACACCGACTCCGTACACTACCCCGTACTCACTACCCCGGACATATTCTGTGACCACTTGGATTACTCGAGCATGCATGGTGTTGCATTGTTTCCTGGCTACCCCGTACATACACCCCGGACTATATTCTGTGACCACTTGGATTACTCGTACTCTTACCATGCATGGTGTTGCATTGTTCTGGCCTACCCCGCTACCCCGTATATCTCTACTCCCGTCTATGTATGACCCCCTGACCTATCTCCGTACACATGTAAAAGATATTTTGCCAATAGATGAGACACGGTCGGCTGACCACAGTAAAAACGCTACCGTAGGTAGAAATACAGGAGGCACAGACGGTTAGCTGGCACTCCGGCCTCGCGGCCTCGCGACTCTTGTGTCGCCGGAAAACTTCTATACCCAAACATACGTATATGCCTGTCGCTTGCTTTAGAAGAAGAACAAAAAGATCGGCTTGCTGCTGCTGCTGCTAAAGTGATAACAAAATCCAGGTGTTGCTGTGCCGGCCGGTGTGTAGGCACTGCAATCTGACCAAGTGGCAAGCCGGCCCAAGTGCGGTCCGGACTCCAAACGGGAAGATCCAATGGTCCAAGGTTCGGTCGGCTGGTATCGGACCGTCCGTTGCGGTGCTCAATTGATGACGACGAGCTCGGGTCTGATGATCGTCCCAATGGATGCTGACTGGCGCACTCGCTGAGGAGTGTCTTGTCCAGTGGTGAATTGCTGCCTTTCGCCGTTGCCACAACTGGCCGTTCCACACTCACGCCGAGAAGGAAGGCCTGTAAGGCTTTCCTTCCCCTAAAAATGTAGTCATACAATCACCCTTTCGATGCCAATATGATACAAGTACCAACACAGCACAGAGATATCCATACACACCATGTTATACAGTCTGCTGAACGCCCAGCAGGTCGCGCGCCATGGGTCGCTGTCAACCATGACAGCAGAAAAGCCTTTTCCACAATGGGACAGGAGGATTGTCGTCATCGAACCCGGACTTTTCATCTATTTGGGGAGGATTGGGCATCGTTGATGCTTGCATGGAGGTGGACGGTTGGTAGGCAGAGATGGCCCCAGAACCACCGCTGGTATTCGCAATGTGACCCCGGGAGCCGAAAGGAGCGCGCTGAGGATGGGTTTCGGCACCGGAACCTTGTAGTCTTCTCGCCTCGACGACCCTGCGGATGATCACTGGACGAAAAATTAGTCTCAATGCCAATGAGAGGAAAACGGAGCAGGCATACAAGCAAAGGTCTCTTCGATGTTGACCATCTCTCTGGCCGAAGTCTCCATGAAACCACAACCCCGGCTCTTGGCCCAGTCCCAGCCATACTTGCTGCTAACAACTCTGGCATCCTTCAGATCGCATTTGTTGCCGGCGATGATCTTGATGGGGGGGAATCTCCAGCCGTCTTCTCTCCGACCGCGGACCCTCAGGCCCTTTTGTTGGAGAAGCCTGGCATTCTCTTCGAGCCTATTCTCGGCCTCAATGTCAATCATGTCGAGAAACCAAGTGAGACCTTCGAGGGACGCGGTGTTGGTGATGTCGTAGACGAGGAGGAAGGCATCGGACTGCAGGTTGGACGCGGCCCACAGACTTCGGTATTCTTCCTGGCCGGCTGTGTCGGTCAGGGATAGGTGATAGTTGAGGCCGTCGATTGTGCGCGTGACCGAGTACGAGTCTTCAATGGTGGGATCGTACCTGGGGAGATCAGAATTGGACGACAGCCAGGTTAGAAAGGCAACGAGTGGACTCCACTTACTCTGATGTCCATTGTGACCGCACCAGTCGAAGTGTAATGGACGATTTACCTGCGCGCACCCGACGTCAGTATGGGTATGGGAGGTGACCGCATGAGCATGCACTGGCGAGGGTTCCAACATACCACATCCTCCGTCGCCGCAAATAGTGATGGATATCTTGTCGGCCATTGCGCCCTAGGATGCGACCGGCACAAGATGGAGGAGCCAGTCACAAGGGGGGGTTTCTTCAATTATAAAAGCGAGTACGAGGAGACCAGTATATCTGCTATGACGACGCAGAGGGGGTAAATGATGATGGTACTCCGAAAATGGCGCACAGACAAAGTCGTGCAAGCGGTGATTACCACAGGAGATGGAGATGGAGATGCCCTTGGGCTCTTTTCGTCTTCGGGATTGTAAACGGCACCAGGAGGCTTTCTTTTTCTTCCAAGGGATGCCGACGTAGGGGGAGTCGGAATGCGCCGTCAGTGGAAAGGGAGCGGGAGCGGGAGCAGGACAGGAACAGCCGCGCGAACTGGTGTCGAGCAGAGGGAGAAGCAAGCAGTGGTGAAGCAGGCGTGGGATGTCGGGAGCGGGTTGCGACTGATTTAAGGTCGAACTGCAGGAGTCGAGGGTGTGAGACGCCAGTTGCGCCAGGTCGTCACAGGATGCGGCGGCGAGGATGGATGTGCGAGGATTGTCGCGATGCGAGGATGATGATGATGATGATGCAGGCAGCGACCGTAGGCCAGGTTGGTCTGTTCTTGTACCACCAGAGGGAAGAGCGACGAGATTTACGTCGATCGGTCGGATTGATTGAAGTGAAGCAAGAGAATTGCTCCGAGGTTGCTGGTGGCAGGATCAGGATTGGAAGAGCAGGGGGGGTTGTATGGTGTGTATGCAGTTCTGGCGAGGTTCAAGGTGTGCATGAGTCGTAGTGCCAGTAGTGCCTCTGTCCCAGGGTACGGAGTAGATTCATCCATGTGCCTGCCGGTGCTCGCCTGTGCGCCTGTGCCGGTTCTGTGTCTGGGTCTGTGGCTGGTTCGGTGACAGTGGCGGGAGGCGGGTGGAGGGTGGAGGCACAGGCAGCGTGATAGGGGCGGGAGGAGAGTGCGGACAGGGATCAACTCACCTCCTGGCATGCTCCATCCTGTACCTTAGGCATGAGGGGCTTAGCCTTAGGCTTCTTGGCCCTGGGTCTTAGGTGGGGGGACGCACCCCGGCCGCCCAGGGCTAAGAGGCTAAGCCTGGCCTCGGAAGCCTTAGCCTTAGGAGCCCCTCTCTACTCTCTGCTCTCTAGGCCTGGTAAGCCTGCAGATGCAGAGCCTTAAGTTAGCCCCTAACAAGCAGCTTGGGCAGCAAGAAGAGGGTACTAATTAATTATTAGTACTGGATGCAATGCAAGCTGCACATTGTACCACTGTGCTGCTGTGTGCTCGGTGATGGCTTTCTCCCACTCCCACCATTATCACCGACACAGGCATTCAGGTCAGGACATATTCTCTCTTCTTTCTGTACGGAGTACCCCGTGAGCAGAGTCGGGAAGCTGGAAGAGAACAGTCCAGACAGATCGTACTCGTACTGTTACTCAGTAAGTACTTTACAGGCACGAACTCACTAACATTGATTAGTGCTCGGGGAACCAGAGCCCTCTTCCTAGGCGGGAACCAACGGTCGGTTGCCTTTGCCACATCCAGACCCCTGAAACACCGACACAACGGACGAGCCAGAAAGAAAACGGAGTGGCGAGAAGAACTTGAACTAGAAATTGGGCAAGGCGACCACTGAGGTTGGGCAGCAAGACCAACAGGCGCAGATCATGAAGATCACGAATGTATACAGCATAGTACAGGGTACAGAATCCAGAGTCCAGGCACCTACCAGGTAATAGAGCTGACTGGCCATGTGCTGATGATGTGCGGCTGTCGATCAGGCGTTCTGAAGGCAGCTGTATGTATGTACTCCTTATGTTTGGCTGCCTTGGGCACCAACAGACTACACAGTATTGGGCATTTTCTGGAATATCAAACATACTGTACTCTATCACCAAGTCTTCCCTGCATAACAGCATCACCCATATCGTAACTGCAGAGGCGACTTCTCCCACACCTCGGCCTCTTGCCTGCTCCGGGTTAGATGCCCGGAGACTGTAGTCCGTAGTCCGCTGTGAAACAGGCATGGGCCTTACATATGTATCCCTACAGTATGTATGTGTCTCCGTACACTCACCTTGCATCTCTCTGCAAGTACCTGATTTACTCATCTTATACCTGGTCTTTTACGTACAGTACTGGGACACTTCCCTTCTCTTTCCCTGCTAGGTGCCTGCCTTGCAATCCTGTTAATTAGCTAGTGTACTCCATACACACATTCCCTGTCACCTACCTGTCGTGTTCTTCATCAGAACACTGCCATGTGTAACTCTTCAGCACATTCAGGATCCAGGCAGCTACAGGGTGTCACCTCCAGGCCTACTCGTGGTCTATGGATCTGAATGAATCGAGCTACTCCTCCCCACGCGTATGGCGTCGAGTTTGACTACGATCGAGATTACAGCGCTTCGCAGCCGAGCGCGAACTTGGCCTTCCACTTGCCCAAGCCCGCTTCAGCGCACAAGACTGTGGACACCATTGGCGAGTGAAAGCCTTCGGGCCCAAACACGCCGGCCAGTCAATACAGTATGGAGGCACTGGGCGCTCAACCCTTGATACATGCCTAAGTATGGAGTACGGTGTTTTGAGTACGCCCCGGCCTGCTGGCCCCGGTCTACTTTATCTCAGATCGTGTGCTTCGTACCTGCATGGACATAGATGGTCTGCTTGGAAGACAAATACTGGCTGTTCAGGTTATTTCAAGGTTGAGTTGACTACCCAGTCTTGCCATCTGTCGACGTCGTCTCCTGTCTTCTACATCACCCCGTCCCACACGGCGATCTTGCGGGAAGATTCGAATATAAAATTGGCGCGGCAAAAGGCCAATAATCAGCCCTGCTCCGCCTCACTGTTTGGTTTCACAGAAGAACAACAGCCTTCTCAAAATGTCGCACCTTTTTCCATCGTCAGCTCCAACAGGTTTATTTACCGCCGTCTTCTCGACTTGGCCAGATACCTCACCTTTGAGACAGTCTTGACGCCGGCACGAAAGCCAGTTCAGCTGGCTACAGTGTGGCCTGAACCGATCTTTGCGGTCTGATTCAACCCACTGGACGAAGAAATCAAAAAAAAAACCTGTGAGGCTGCAGAGGCGACCGCGGCTACAGGTCGAGCATTCCAGCTCCTGAAGGTATAAATGTATACAGCGCAATTCCCATCTGATGATGCCTATCCAGAATTCTACTGGTGCTGCTTTCTCTTTCTCGACATTCTGCTTTCTGCTCGGAAACCAGGAGCTCACAGCTCACACACCGTTCTCTATCTTGTCACAAACCACTCTGCAGTATTTTGCAATGCGTGTCCCTTCCATCCCAGCTATTTCCCTCGGCGCCCTCGTCCTCCTCTCTATCACCACTATGACTTCCGGAGCCCCGAGTCCCGTCGCCGTCGAGCGGATCTGCGAGGTCGCCCAGCCAGGCCAGCCGTGCGTCAACATCGACGGCGTTCCATCCTGCAACAATGACTATCTATCAATTGTACGCTAAAGCCACACCTCTGACCCGACACGTTTCCATATCCACGCCTTCAGCCCCTTCGACCACTTTGCTTGTTGTTGTCGTTATCGTTGTCGTCGTCGTCGCTGTTGCTGTTGCTGTTGCTGTTGTGGTCGGTCGTCCGACCAGACCACATCCCTTCACCCATCATTTTGCTGACATTTCCATCTTCTCCCTGACAGCTCTATTGTGTCTCCCCGGGAATATGGCAGTTGGGCCAGCAGTGCGGCAACCTCGAGCTGTGCCAGTGTACCGACGGCATCCCCTTCTGCGACTGAGGACAAATACATATGGATACCATTCACGCATATGCATGCATACATATATTAGTGGATGGATGGATACCATGCTAATGCATGCATGCATATATATTACTGGATGGTTGGATAGATGGATATATTGGATGGATATACACACCCACCCGATGCATATATGGCACGACGTGCTTTCAGCACATGCTCCTTCCATGATCTGATTCTCACTTTTCAGGGGGTGTTAGGAATCCTCTAAGGCAGCGAGCGGCATGGGCATGGTGGCCGAACCAAGTGTCGACCCCTACCCTTCCCTATGTAGGGAGTAGATAGATACCAGTGGATTCGCCGGCGAGTAGTGGCTGGCCTGTGCTGACTTGACAAAGGAAGGGACATGTTTATGACGTAAGTGAGAGGCGGCATTGATGTTGATGTTGTTTTGGTAGATAGATATCTCCATCTGTGTAGAGATCCTGTGCAAACATGGTCGGACTATGCCTACATTACATGGATAGCGTCCGAAGCGCCAAAGCCAAAGAGATTGCAATACTTAGGACACATGCCAGTGAGACCTTCAACACAGACACAGACTGTACGCTGCTAAGCCCCAAAAAGGCCTCTTCAGTACGGACTACTGTCGCTAGCAAAGATTCAAGCTCGAATCTATTCACATCTTCTATTCGTGATCGGCCGTCGCCAAGTAGTAAGTAGTCTAATATACATATGTACTATATTCAGATTCAATTGATATACCAGCCAGCCTCCCAAGAAGTGCTTCGTTCATCAGTCGGTCAGGCGCAAAAGAAAAGGGGATCTCGACCCCGTCTATTTATATATGTCGTGCTCTTGTTCGCTAAAAGCAAAAAGGGAAACTGGAAAAAGAAAACACTCAGGGTATGCATAATCCAAGGTGCCACAGGCATGTCCACACTGGCTCCCCTAAGCCAGCTGGTTTTCTTCATCCATAACATGTCATGCGTCGTGGTTTGGGGGGCCCGACCCGGGACATCTGGGCGCTGGCGAAATGCTGCGGACATGTGAGACTGCTGAGGTCAATTTCGCGGAACAAAACGCCATTCAAGGATCGGGCAGCTGACACTTTCCCTTGCCTGGGTTGTTGTTCTCCTCCCTAGGCAATTATCGCCGTCGGTCACGGATGGGTTAACGACAGAGTTCGTTTGAATTCGGCCGGAGATGTACCTCATCAGGCGGAAAACGTGTCGTCTTGTGCCGGTGAGCACCGTTGCGTGACCGCCCTGTCCTCCAAGAGGAAGGACAATACCGAGCTGCTCGTTTAGCGATCTTTCTTGTGGTCCACATTCGTCTTGCCAATCCTATTAAGACTGGGTATTCGCCCAAATAGCGCGTATCAAGCGTTGGGTATCGGACCAGCTTGAGTCCCGTTCAGCCCCGGCAGAAATAGGGCCAGACAAGTTTCGTGGAGAAAGACGGACCTCGCGCTCAAGCAGGCAAAACTGTCGGGTGAGGAGGTTCTTCCTCTTCTTCAATCTTTGGAGGAGGAAATCCTCGCCACGATCCTGTATCAGCCCTCTCCTGTTCCTGAGGGGACTTGACAGAGGGCGCGGCGGTTTCGGCCACTTTCTTGTCACCGTCAATGCTTGTCTCAGATGATTGGCCATGCGCATCCTCGGTCGGCTTGGTCGCTGCGGACGGAGCGGGGGTGGCTGATCCCTTATCACTGTGACTACCAGGCTTTCGAGGAGAGACTCGTCCATTCTGTGTGCGCCAGGAAAGGTGAGCCTAGAGTCGCGTATTTCATTATGTCGGGGGGCTCCTTACCTGTTTCGCCCATCTAAGACCACAACTGTTACACAAGTCACGGTCTCCGCTTGGCCCTCGTCTCCATTCGGGTGTAACCCGCGTGTGACAATTGGCACAATCCTTTTCTAGCTGTCCAAGCCCCTTCCTCCTCTTGCGCTTCTTCTTGCGATTGATCAATAATTGCAGCTCGTCAGCCAACATCCGGTTCTGACGCTCCATCTGTCGAAGTTCAAATTGCCAACTCGAACTCCTTGTCGTCTTTAGCTCATCGAAGAGGTTGTCTTCGGAATTCAAAGCGTCATCCTGGTTCCCTAGACTGAGACCATGACCACCTGCCCGTGTTACAGCCCCGGCGAAGCCGGCCAGCGTTTGACTGTCGGAGGAAATAGATCCTGTAGAGCCATTCGTCACAGTGCCAGGAGACCGACTAGACCCTATCGACTTTGGATCGGTCGGCGTTGATGACACACTCAACGACTTCTGATTTAACAGAGCGGCACGGGTCAACTTTAGGAACCGAGTTTGGGCCAAGAGGAAAGTGGGTTTGAAGCCACGCCGAGCATCGCCTGGATATATGGTTGTCTGGGCGTGAAGCACCTGGCCTCGCCGGTTCAAAAAGTCATGCCTGAATGTCACTTTCTCTCCGGTCCGGGCCAATTCAAGCGCGCGCGAGAACTCGATCCTGGAATCCGGCCTCATCAGAACTTGCATACTGGTTCCTACCAGGTCTTCGGATACCTGGTCGAGCATCATTCGAGAAGAGGAAGAGACGTGCAAAAACATCCCCGACGTGGAGATCTTGGACCACAATTCGCTTTCGCCCAGGTTGTTCTCCGTCAAAAGCTCGGAACGATCCAGAGCGTAGACTGGTCTCTCGCGTCCCACCAGGATGATGCACTTTTTGCCTTTGCCTTGTTCGGTATGTAGACAGCCATGAGCTTCGAACCAGGTGTAGCCGCTGAACTTCCTGCGGATGCGGTATACCACACTGACCGGAGATCCATTCGAGGAATCCTTCAACTCTCGAGTGACGGGGACAATGTCACTGGGGTGGCATACCGATGACAAGGCCATGCCAACCAGCTCACTCGCATCGTACTCGAGGACCTTTCGACTGGCAGGAGACAGGTAGAGAAAGAGGCCCTTCAAGGACAGAACATGCACGACATCGTCGGTGTTTTCCAGAAGGATCTTGTCCCAGATACGTTTCGACTGATCGGATTCACCACGGCCGATTGCACTCAGCACGTTTGAGACTTCGTCTCTTGGGATCGTCTGGCCAATCTCTTGCAGTGATTGGCTTGGATCCGGGGGAGCTGGAAGAGCGTAGGCAGGAAGTGAGCTTCGGTTATAGTTGATCGCGTAAGTTCCATCTGCGCAGGAGGTCAGTACTTCCACATCGGTGTCTCGTTGGAGAATTGGATGCTCATACCTGGGTTTCGACCCGAGACCGAGTTCGGCTGCTCGACCAGATCCACCTGAAATCCAACGTAGAACTTGTGATCCTCGGAATCGAATTGGATCGGTATCATAGTGAGAAGATTCATGAACGGTTGTCCGCCTTTTCGATAGTTGATTAGGTTCAGTTGGGCCTCTGATCGTTTGTTGATTTGGTTCTTCAAATATAGGACGGAGCGGTTATCTACGTATTTCCGTTTCATGCCCTCTTGCACTTCGCCGTCTGGTGACTGCAGAAAACGGCAGTTCCGACCTAAAATTTCATGCTTCGTATAGCCAGTCAACCGCTCGAACATCTCTGAACAGTACACAATTGGACAGTCGTATTTTTCAAGATCGCAGACAACAAAAGCACAGGATAGATCAACGGGACCGATATTGATTTCAGGCTTAGGCCTCGTCGCGACGCGCATCTGAGGCATGGTTAGTCTAAGATCGGTCCCCTGACTAGATAGATGCGTACCAGAACACCGAGCATGTCGAAACCGCTGGAAGAATAGGCATTGGCGTATTTTGAAGGGGGCTGCCGGATGCCTTGTACCGGGGGCATATGTGCTAACGCGGTTGGATTCACCGAGCCCGAATTTGGGAGCATCTCTGCTGCTCGACATCAGTTTTGGAGGGATGAGGATCTTTGGGTTACATACCATTGGTGGTGAAAATGGAAGGAACGTCCCCCGAGAGGCTTCTGGACGAGTTATGCTGTGCGGATGCTTGGGATGGCATCGAGTCAGGGTGTTGTCCCTGAAGAGATTGTGCCGGATTGTGGAAGGATTGGGAGTTTGATGCCATTGCCTGCGCCATTGTTGCCATGCGATTATGGACGGGAGGACTTCCGGATCCGCCGCCTGGATCGTGGCCGGAGAGCTGATAAGACACGGAGAAATTTTGGTCTATCGGGGAGGTGGTAAACACAGACTCATGCATCGGTCCAGAGTGCATAGTCGCGTTGTTTACAGGTCCTCCCAGAGCATCATAATCCATATGCATGTCCATCGTAGGAGGTCCGTACGCGACAGAGGGTTCGACGCCAGCCGAGCTGCTCGACATGATGCCGGGCGGATAGGGCGATAGGGCATCGAAATCGGACTGCATCTGGGAAAGCTGGGCACTTAGGGACAAATCCTCGCGAGATCGAACCCTTCGAGGATCGAGAGACTTCTGCATTGGCAACATATTGGATGCGGAATTTGGCATGACCAGGCTCGAGTCACCTGGAATTGGATCAAACTGAAAGTCCACAAAGTCGCCGTCGACGGCGGAGTTGAATTCCAGCATAGAGGTTCTGCGAGTATGGTCTTGAGAAAGCTGCTGAGAGTATTGGACATGAAAGGTGTTCCGCCTGCGCATCAATTCCTCGGTGTTTTGACTGACAATCTGGTGGAGAGTCTGCGGGAGGCCCAGGCCGGTGGAATCCATGGTACCGGAGACGATAGTGTCATCTTGTGTGTAGCCATCCATGGGTTGTTGCTCATCCAAGACCGTATAAGACTGCCCGTAGAACCCCTGCGAGCCATCCATGGTGGCTCAATCTTCACAGAACTTGTTCGTCTGTTTCACCCGGGCTTTTGCGCTCAGCATGGATTCGAAGCAGAGTGTAGGAGTAGGCGTGGCTCCAGGAAGTGCATTCTTGCCGCAAGGAGCGAAAAAATTGCAGCGAGGCAAGAGGGGCGGCGGCTGATACACTAGGGATGGCGGCAAGGCGAGGGTGGCGGGAGATCACGAACGAGGCAACTGATCCAGGTATGAAGGAGAATGCAGATGTTTGTTCTTGGTGGTGGTGTTGGTCGGGTTGGTGAAGAAGCCGGTAAGGTGTTGCGCAGGCAGGCCGGTAGAGGGGAGAGGATTAGTCTGGGGATGCCGAACGGTAAATGGAACGAAGGTCGTGTAATCACGACGACTCGGCAGGTGGGAAAGACGCATGTAGCACCATCGGTCAAAGTACATAACTAGTCATTGCGGGCAGTTGGACCGGACACTCCATTCTCTTCTGCCCACCAGTGGCAGAGATCCGAGATCCTCCCTGAAGCACTGTAGCCAAATGATCCGTGGCCACTTAGCCAAGGCTCCCTAGGCTCAGGCTCGGGCGACCGCAGGCAAGGCACACTACTCCTTCTACTAGCTGTCGCCATAACCAAGCGTCCACAGTATACAGATAGCATCTTGATGCACTACCATCTCAGATGTACGTGCCAATGGCAGCATGGTCGCGATGGAAAGACTGGCGTCATCGACATTCTCTTGCAAACGCGTCTGACCGCCCGGCCTCTGGTGTTACCCAGTGATAGTACTAGGTACATATGCAGCTATCATCAGGATGGAGTACGTCGTGACACTCACTATCTGCCAATCTGGAAATTGGAGCTTGTACGAGTACCCTGATGTGTCAGGTGTGATCCCCGATCCAGGGCACCGGGATCCTCCGTACCAACCGCAGGCAAGGCCAGTAATGCCAAGCGAGGCACAAGCGAGATACTATTAGTACGGAGTACCTGTGTACATATGTACGGAGTATACTCTGTACGTACATAGGTATGTAGGTGCTAGGTGGTACGGAGATCTCAGATGTATGCACTGCGCAGGAGTCAGGACAATCCCCTAGATCCCTACCTGCCTTAAGATAGCTTGTGACAAGGGTCGGAGAGCTCCTCAGGCCTTCCCAGCCCAGTGCCTCAGCGCACCTCGAGTCCTGGTATGGTCTAAGACAACGACACCAAGAAGAGCAGGCTTCGAGCAATTGTTTGGCATTACATGTACAGCTGAGCTGCTGGGCTACAACCACCGCGCCCCATCTGGGGACGCTTCAGTTTCCCGATGCGGGACATGGAGTACAAGGACGGATGCAGATGAAATGATAATGGGTGAGTGACCCTTGACCTAGTCTGGGTGGGGTCGAGGACATCTCATACAGACGTATACATACACCTCGGATAGGGTATCCGGCACGACACTCCGTCAAGTTGTGCTTGCACCAGGGACCTAAGATACCCATGGACAATCACCCAGGTACCTGATCACCACCATACAACGTCGCCCGAGCAAAACAAAGAGCCATGAACCAGCTCAATCCCCCCAGGACAGCGCCTTGAAAATCAACACCTCGTCCGTGCTATGCGTCAAGAACCAGATATCGTGTCCACATTGGAGGACACATGTCACACATAACAAACGCCCGTTAGCCAGGATATGCCGCAGGTCGAGCGACAAGCGGCGCAATTTTCTCCCGCTGAAGCTTCTCCTTCTCTAATTGCGCCCGGTCGCTTTTGGTCATCCGAGGTTTTCGAGTGACGCCACCACCGCGAGAGCCAGGTCCGCCACCACGACCAGAGCCTGATTCAGCGGCTGCCGCAGCTGTTCGGCCTCCACGGGACCCAGGGCCACCGCCTCTGCCACGTCCACCACGGCCACGCTTGATGGTACCATCCGCCCTGGAAATGATGGTCAGTTTGGTCTGGAACGTTCTGGGCACCGCGACATACCGTTCAACAGCAGGTTTCTCGCCTTCGGGAACCAGCGGTCCACAGTACACAAAGAATCCATCTTTGCTGGCGGCTGCTTGCGCCTCCCAGAGTAACTCGCTGTCATCAATGAAGGGGTCGTCTTGATTATACTCCTCGACCTTTCTTTTGCGGCGTCGCTTGGACCCGGGCGCGTCCGTACCGCTATTGGCCGCCTCTTGACCGCCGTTGATGCCTGACATGGCCACATCACCGTCATTGTCGGAATCACGCTCGATGTCGACACTGAGATCATCATCGCCGCTGTCTCCGGCGGATGTACCTCCAAACTTACTTCCTGACGCTGATCGTTCCAATGCAGCGCCGGCAGCGGCGACCTTGGCCAGACGTTCTTTCTGGGCGGCTTGACGCGGATACAATGCAGCAAAGCCATATTTTTCCTCCGCCATTCGAGCAAAATTGATAACTCGATTGTTAGGGTCTTTGAGGTCGATATGTAGAACAATCGTGGGGCCTTTTCCAGAAGCCTTCTGAGCTCCATCGTTGCTTGAGTCACCGCCGAAGAGGCTGGCAGAGAGAAGGCCAGATCCAGGTGGAGGAGGAGGGGGTTGCTCCTTTGCCCGGGCCGGTTTAGGTGATGCCGCACGAGTGGGCGCTTCGGAAGGAACTTTCTTAGGCGGAGTGACCTTCTTTGGTGGAACAGGATCGAGAGCAGTAGAGTCAAGGTCCATCGGCGCCGGGTTGATGGTCACTGGGGGTGAAGTCGTGGGTTTGCCATTGGTCTGGTTGTATGGCGATTCTAGCTTGGGATAATGACTAACTATTGTGGTCGAATTCTGGAAAGATGGCGCTGCAGGATGATCAATGATGCCTGAGATAGCTGGAGACGTGCTTGGATTGTATGTCGGCCTCGGTGGTGTATGAGCCGGTGGAATCGATGTGGAAGACATGACAGGCCGCGTCACAGATCTGATAGGATCCCACATGCCCGCGGAACGGGGAGCAGAAGCATGGCTAGCACTCGGCACATTGACAGTGTAGTTGTCTGCATGTTGTGAGGGTATTTGAGGGTGCGTCGAAGAAAATTGCATTGAAGAGCCCGAATCTGTAGGTCTGGCGGCTTCATCGGAACGTATCCCAGCCAGAGATTGAGAGGAAAATGAGACAGGCTGGACCAAGGTGGAGGACTGCAGGCCCGAACTCTGCGGTCGCTGGATTTCGACGGCGCTGCTTTCATCTGCTGCCTCTAATTTGGGCTTTTTGCGCGATACGACGGATGCAGTCGACGCACCGCGAGGCCGCCGATTCGTAATGCGTTCTTTCTTCTCCTTCTCTGGCTCAGGAGGAGCATTTGGATCCTTCTTCTTGCGTGGCTTATACTTGCGCTTGACGGGTGGCTGTGGCGCAGTGCCAGGGCCAGTGGCAGCAATGTCACGATTATCTTGGCGAGGTATACCGGGAACTGTGGCTGATGAAGCTGCACCTGCGCCTGCGCCTGCGCCTGCACTCACACTTGCAACACCAAAGTTACCTGATGCACTGGTATCGCGAGGTCCGTGATGTGCTGTTAAATGACTGAGAGGTCCTGGCGTACTTTCGGCGTCGCTTGGGGGTGCACTCGACAGATCGTTGGAAGAACTCCTCAACTCTATCACCTCCATCTTCCGAGTCGTGCTCCGTCAGTTAGGCCACAAGTGAAAGACCAGCTTGCACAAGGCGCATCAACCCCCAAAAAGCAGCAACTAATTTGCACGAGAAGCGTGAAACTGGAGATGATTAAGGATGTGTCGTGGTTGACGAGATGTGGGCGTGCGTGATTCGTAGATAAAAGAACAAGTCAGGGTCGTTGACCAAGGTGATGACTGTATAAAGAAAAAGATCGGAGACGCGAAGGTGAGGAGGAGTGTTGTGGCGGCACACCACAAAGAGTTGAGAAGATGTCGACTAACATGGATGAGTTATCATGATTATTGAATGAACTAGGCGCGACGACTTACGGTGAATTAGAGCGCCATGGCGGGATCAAGGAACATCGAAATAGGCGCACATGTAGTCTGGGTGCAAGGAGGTCACGAAATTGGCTGCAGGAGAGCTTACAGCAGGATGAGGAGCGGAGAGAGAGAGAGAGAGAGGAAAGATCAAGAGAGAGAAGAACGGCAAAGAGGAAAGGTAGAGATATAAGTATCGAGAGCAAGGAAGGATGGCGAAAAAGGGCCACTAAGGAACCACCCAGTATTGTTGACAAAGAGCAGAGCAGGAGGCTTGGGAGGCACGGGAGAATGGAGTGAATGGGCCACGAGTAGGGGACAAAACAACCACGACTCAACTTGATGGAGGGTGGAGTGAAGACGTGAAGCAGAGCGACAGGAAGGGAAGGGAACCCGGGGGAGGGAGCAGTCAAGAGGATCAAGAGGACCAGAAGGCATCGAACTGAACTGAATGACGGGTCAAACCGAGCACAAAAGAGGAGCAGGGGGCGGACCATGGGATTTGGGGGATGGATGGTAAATGCTATTATTATTACGAAGAGTCGAGTCGAGGTCGAGGTGAAAGGAATTAATAGGGAGGATCAGGATGGGACAAGGACAAATCTCCAGATGGACAGGGACAGCGACAGCCTGAGCCACAGCCTGAGCCAGAGCACCAGAGGAATAAGAGCCAGCAAGCGATACATACCACTACCAATCATGGACGGACAAAGAGGTGATGCGTACGTATATGGAGTCCTCCGTAGGCCGTATTACCAGCTGCGGCCCATACTTTAGCTAATCATTTACCTTACTTAAGCTTCTTTTGGTTTCAAGTCGCGGTCTCGGGCCAACGCCATGGGCAGGTATGCGAGTATATTATGAACACAGGCCGAGTGCTACTTACAAAGCCAGCTGCCCCAGCACTGACCTGCACTACAGTGGCTCTTCTCAAAGTCGCCTGTGTTGCATTCTACCCTGGCGGACGAGGCTCTTCGAGATCCCCTCGTTGGTATCGTGGCCAGAGATCTGGCGCAGGCGCAGATCCACCGCAGCCAGATCCGGTACCCCTGCCCAATAATGTGGCGTGGCTTTACGAGGTCAAGCCTGTCCCCGTCCCGGATTTCCACTCACCCGCAGCCCCCCTCGATACATATTATATATGCATGATCACGCGGATGGTTATTTTCAGAGCCGCCTCCCCTCTTAAGCACGGGGAGAGAGAATGCCTCACGACCGTGCTCGTTGTGGCCCTGTTTGGAGTCAGCTTGCGACATGTCTGTTACATTGCTAGAAGGCGGATGCTCAAATCAGCCTGCCCTCTCGGTTTGGGGCGCACATGCGATGCGCTAAGGTATGTTTGGCGTTCTAAGTTGCGGTGCTAGTACTACTAGTACTGCTAAGTGCCATGCTAGCCACAGTGGCGTGCAATAAATCCCCGATGCTTGGCGTCGTCCTCCAGGTGCTTCTTTTGTCCCAAAAGATGCCTGCGCTGCCTTGTTCAACCAGGTGGTTCAGTCGAGTCCCGTGAAAGACCCTCGACTTTGTAATTTTCCATATGGCAGAATGGCCATCCCAGGGCAGCGCTTCGAACTCGATCTCGACGCAGACGATTTCACGGTGAGGCCTCTCAATGAAGACTTCTCACACGACTTAGCCGCAAACTTCGCCGTCAAGGAGGTTAGAGAGCACGAAGCAGAAACTCCACCACCTCCTCCTTCTTTGAAATCCTCGAAATCCGGCTTCCCAGAGCACAGACCCCGCCGGAATATCTCAGACTTCAAGAAGAGGCAGCAGGCTGGAGCTGTCCCAGCGCGGCCTTCAATCTCCTCCCGGGTAGAACCTTCGGACAGAGCAATCGCTCATCATGTGGGCAAGAAATACGGAGTTGATCTAGAGACCCAACAGAAGGCCGAGATAAGTGAGGAGAATAAGAGGCGCCTCGCTGAGATGTCAGTCGAAGACATAGCAGAAGCACGAGCCGAATTGATGAGCAACCTTAATCCTGCTTTCCTCGAGCGGTTGCTCAAACGCGCCAATATTGACGAAGACCAACCCGCTCAGGAGGCTTGGCCCAGAGATGATCGAGATGCAGCAAGAGAAACCCAGCCTGCTATTATTGATACTGACACGTCGGCGAGTCTGGTCGAGGATAAGCAAGTCCCAACAACGTCAATTCACTTTCCTGCGCCTCCCCGATCAGCTGAAGACTATACGCCTCTAGATACCGACGATCCCTCTTTTCTCACAAATCTCAAATCACACTACTTTCCCGAAACGCCACACGATCCTTCTTCGCTCCAGTGGCTGCAAGATCCTACCGAAGAAGAATTAAAGGAGTCCTTGTATAATCCTGAGAAGGACTCATTTCTGGCGTCGGCTCTGCGTTTCGGCTTCAACGGCCGCCTCATAGCGCCTAGAGAGAGCTTGGAAATCGATGTAAAGCAAGGTCTACACCATCATGGTGATGACCCCAGCAGTGCAGGCTATACTATCCCAGAGCTCGCAATCCTGGCGAGGTCCACCCTGCCCAACCAACGCTGCGTTGCGTATCAAATTCTGGGCAGGGTTCTATACAGATTGGGAAGAGGAGACTTCGGCGCTCGTGGTAGTGAGCTTGAGGAAGCCTTGTGGTCAGTGGTCGAGAGGGAAAAACCAATCGAGGTGATAATGAGTGAAGCCAACCGCCAATCCGGCCATGCCAGCGCTAAAGCTCATGCCATCGAGGCCTTATGGCTCTGGAGAAAAGGAGGAGGAGGAGATAGGGGCGTTCTGAAACCAGGGCAGAGAGTGGCCAAGTGATAGCGGGTTAATCTGCACTCGTTCTCCCACGCTGAACCATGTCTCGCAATATGCTCATCGCCGGATACTCCGATCGCGGGACTGCAGCAGTCCTGGCTGTGGCTTTCCATAGCCACGGTGACTGCTTGCTCGTAAGTGCCAGAAATCCATCCAAGACGGCGTCTCTCAATGTCCTCGGAATCGAAACTCTTCCACTTGACGTCCAATCTGAGGAATCCGTCAAAGCTTGCATACAGCAGGTGTCGGCCCTCACTGGAGGCTCTCTTGACGTGCTGGTCAACAACGCTGGTACCGCCTACTACATGCCTGTATTCGATTCTGCGATCTCAGAAATGGAGAAGCTCTTCGACTTGAACGTGTTGTCCATGGTCCACAAGATGAAACACTTGTTCGCTATCCTCCGCAACTCCAAACATGGTGGCCACCTTGGATCCAATACTTCAATGGCCGGCAGCTTCAGCATGCCATGGCAGGGGATCTGGCGGGGTACAAGCGCGTTCAAGCTGTGCACAGGCCGTCATCACATTATTGCCTGGGATGCTTGTGAACTACATGATATCAGGGTTGGATATTGTGGCGGGCGAAGTCAAAGCGGAGTCGAAGAACAGTAGATCAGTCAGAGTATACCTTGCATACTTGGACTTGGACGTCTTGGGCCATGAATATAAGAAAACTGGCGAACAATCATGGCGCACACTAGTTGTGCTGCAGCAGTAGACACTATGGCATGGAAACAACAGATGATGGAAAAAGAGGACTTGGAAGGTTGGCGATTAGCCTTTATTGAAGAGCAGAATAGCATGCTTCGATCAACAATTTTCTATGCATAAGTTGGATCCAGACCCTACGGTTTCTTCTTGTTCATGCTTGAGCTCATCCAAGCCTTCCAATCGGCCGCTCGAATCTTCAAGCCCAGGTAGGCGAGCAGCCTGTAAGCGACGGTGACACCGCCAAGGGCCAGGGCATAGGTGACGGTGTCGACATTCAGGCGGTACAGATCGAGGACCTGGGCGCCGGTCTGGATGGGACAGGAGCCGTCGGCCAGGGTCTGGTCGGGGGCGCAGGTGAAACGGATGTTGCGCAGACTATAGCTGGAGAGGGCGCCGACCTGCCACTTGACCGGGGAGATGTGGTTGACGGCGGACAAGAAGTGGTCGACGCCGATGCTCAGGACGCCGCCCAGGTGGATGGAGATGGAGAGGACGACGGACATGACGGAGACGGCGAGGCCCATGTGCGAGAAGAGGGTGAGGAAGAGGATGCCGAAGCTCTCGCCGCACTCGACGACGCAGAAGGACGAGTAGGCCATGAGGAAGTACTGGCCGGCGGTGCGCGGAAGGCCGATGGCGAAGACGGTCAGCACGGAAAACAGCATCGACGCCACCACTTCCGCCGGCACCTCGAGGGCCAGGTAATACAGGAAAAACGCCTCCAGGCCGTACGTGCCGTCGCGCTCCTCGTGGTAGTACAGGTCCCGCTCGCCCGGGTACATGGCGATGGAGTTCAGCATGCCGACGAAGAACATGCTCGACAGCGCTTGGATGAAGCCCACGCGCGTCTGCACCGCGAAATAGTCGTGCTTCAGGGGCGAGCAGACCGCCGCGAGCACGATCCCCAGCCCGACCAGCTGCGTGATGCGCCCGGTCAGCAGGTTCGGCTGGCGCCGCAAGTTGACCATCCCCCGTTGTAGCAGGATGGGAAATGCCCGCTGCACCGGCAGCTTCCTCCGCGCATAAGTTCCCAGTGCCGCTGGGAGGGTCAGGTGTGTCTCTTTCGACGGCGTCGGTGACTTGGCCTCGTTTACGGCAGAGGTCGTTGTGTCGTCGACGCCGATCACGGCGGTGATGGCTGGTGATGTTGATGTCGTTGTTGTTGTCGTTGTCGTCGGCGGCAGCGGGGTCAAGTTGGATTGGTGCTGTTGCAGCAACTTGGGCGTCTCAACCGACACGAGGTCGAGGGCGAAATCGGCTGGGTTGGCCGACTCCGGGCAGGTGAATCCCATCCTTTCAAAGTGAGGCAGCATGTCAGAGACGGGACCGGTGTAGACGACTTCGCCGCCGGTTGCCAGGAGAAGTACCCCTCCAAACTGCTTGAACATGTCGGACCGCGGTTGGTGGATGGAAAAGATGATTGTCCTTCCCTCGTCCGCCAGGCCTTTGAGGACTTGAATGATGGAGAAGGCGGTAAATGCGTCGAGACCCGAAGTGGGTTCGTCTAGGAGCAGCACCTGGGGGTCAGTGAGGATCTGGATCCCAATCGACACCCGGCGTTTCTCGCCGCCACTGATCCCTTTGACCATGTCGCTGCCAACCAGCGTGTCCGCGCAGTCTTTGAGGCCGAGCTGCAACAAGACCGACTCGGCACGTTGCACCTTTTGCTCGTGGCTCAGAAACGCCGGGAGACGAAGCCGCGCTGCGAAGTGCAGTGTCTCTCGCACCGTCAAGCACGGCAGCAGGGCCGAATCATCCTGGGGCACGTAGGAGCAGATTGAGGTCACCACATCATCGGTCGCGGTGGCCCCGTTGAGGAGCATCCTTCCCGAAGACGAGTACTTGACCCGAACGGATCCGGAGAGCCGCCGTGCCATGGCGTTCAGGCATGACGATTTCCCCGATCCAGACGGACCCATGATGACATTCAAGACGCCCGGCTCGAACGTCGTATTGATGGACTTGAAAATGCGCTTGGTCAGGTTACTCTTGAACGGTCTTCGCTCAATCTCCAGCCCAAAGTGGTCAAGGGTCACAGTGACCGTTCTGTTCGCGTCGCCCGCCCTTGCATTGGTCTCTTGGCCGTCTGCGGTAGAGGCTGCTTTACTTTCATGCGTCCTTGCCATCTCGACCTCCTCGGTAAGCACCTGCAGAATCACTCCTGACAGGATGAAAAAGAACAGGATGAAGCCAACAAGAACGATGATAGGTCTCCAAAGCCAGTTTGAAGGGAGGTTCAGTGAGGCCAGGATATAGTCACCTGTGTACTCCCTGCAGGCTGGATCAGAGGGTCCTCCAGGGCTTGGGCAATCGTAGAAATGGCCCGCGAATTCATTAGTACAAAGGGCCCCGAAGGCATAGAACTGTCGCAATGTCAACACGATGGCGGGCAGCAGGACGCCAGAGCACCACCTACCACATATGCAGCCCATTTGATCCATCGCAGCCAGACGGCAATCGAGCGAGTGTTGATGAAGAACCCGCACCCCATCGATTGAAGCGTGAATGTCAGATTCGCGATCAAAGACGCCACCATGAATTGCCGGTTGAGCGCGACACACACGGTGGCCAAGTTGACCGCGATCATGTGGAGTAGAAGTTGGATTGCAAAGAATGTGAAGAATTGGCCGGCAGCCGCGCGGAAGTCAGCCATGAAATAGAATATCACCGCGTACAAGAATGGGACCGGCAGGTCTTCGAGTGGGATGCGTGCAAATCTTCGGCTGACGATGAAGCTGATTGGCCGGACGACACCCTCGATTCGCTCTCGGTCGTAGACTTGGATGTCGATGGTCAGCCGGTAAGTCTCGAAGAGAAGAATGAGATAACCCTGCAAGGCGCAAGCCGAGTACATGGCTCCTTGCCGGGATCTGATGCCGGCAAGGTCGCTGCCCAGCTGGTAGAAGATCCAGCCACTCATGATGCCCATGCTCAACGACTCAACTATGCTGGCGACGAGACCCAGTCGGTCACGGCATGTCACGACAAATGTCCGACGAGTATGCACAATGACCTCGTGGAGAAGCTCGTTGAGTCGGTCTCCAGAATGCGCGACTTGTTTCCCGTCGAAAGTCTCGTCTATCAGCGACTCTGGTTCGCCAGCGGAAGCGTCAGTCCCATGAGTCCTCCACGCTTCATGCAATTTCCGCACTCGAATCAGGGAGGTCTGTTCGAGGGTCTGCGAGCGCAGGTCCACAGCTGCGAGGTCGATGACAAAGTCAAATGGATTGAAGAATGGAGGCATCCTGTAGCCGAGATGCTCGAAGTACGGGAGACATTCTCGAACCGGGCCAGAATAGACCGGCGAGCCTCGGGCCAGCAAGATCAGGTTATCTACCAGTCTCCAGATTTCGGAGCGTGGTTGATGAACTATTTCGCCGTCAGAAGCTGATGCGCGCCGCCTCCAAAGACGACGATCGACACTTACTGGTCATGATGACAGTTTTTCCCCGTTGAGCAAGACTCTTGAGAGTCTGCACTACTTGGATCGCGGATGCAGCATCCAACCCCGTCGTGGGCTCGTCCAGAATCAGAACAGGCTGATCCGCAAGCAGTTGGACCCCGATACTCGTGCGTCGTTTCTCTCCACCAGAGCAACCCTTGTGAGCGTTGTCGCCTATCCTGGTGTTGGCACACTTCCCCAGGCCAAGCTCGTCGATCACGGTTTCCACCATGGCCTCTCGCTCCGCTCGTGTCTTGGTTGTCGACAGCCGTAGATCCGCGGCATATTGGAGGGTCTCTCGCACCGTCAGGCTGGGTAGAAGCACGTCTTGCTGAAGCACGTACGCCACTCCAACCCTTGCAGACCCAGAACCAGATCCAGCATCTTGACCATTCGGTATGGCCAACGCTTCGGAATTGTACGTGACGGTTCCGAGCTGTCGAAGCCTCTTGTCTTTGACGCGGTGTGCGATGACATTGAGAAGTGTCGTCTTGCCGCTCCCGCTGGCGCCGACAATCGCGGTCAGGCTGCGACTGGGGAGATCTGCTGAGACGTCGTTCAAGATATCCTTGATCGTCGGAATGGCATAGCTACGCAAGACCCTGGACTTGACAGCATCGATCGAAGAGAATAGCGAACCTCCGGCTGGGTCCACCTTCACCGATACATTGCGGACTCGCACATTTACAGCTCGAGTGTTCCGGTCAGTGCTGGTGCTGTAGCGATGCTGTAGTGTATTCTCTTTCGTAGGCAGTGGAATCGATGCGCTGGATGGAACATGGCCCTCTGGTTTTTCCGTCGCCATGCCAGCCTGGGGCTTTCAAAATCTCCGCCCGACAAGACTGAGACGATCGCATGTGAGGGCCTCTTTCACCAGGCCGAATTGGAACACATCATTGCATGAGTCGCCTCCGTCTCCGGATAGGGAAGAATGTTACAGTCTGCTCTGCAGAGAATTGCAGCGCAGCGCAGCGTCTTGCACAACAACAACACATTTTGTAACCATTGTCAGGGAGAGGGGCAGTTTGCGTCGGTTATGCCTTAGTTTCTTTGAGCTTCGGATTGAACTGGAACTACTCTGTAATTCGTCTTTGCGGTCAGGATCGCGGGCCTTAGGGCCTGATTAGGACTGAGCCATCGTGTATGTTAACGGCAAGCGAGGGGCCGCCATCATGTGCTAGGGCTCGAAGCGACGGCACCAATGGAAGCCTTTTGGAGCTTCTATGGGGTACGGATGTACTAGGATATGGAGTAGTAAGTACTAAAAAACGGACTAGATATACGTACCAGATATGCCTGATTTGTGCAGGGCGGTCGACGGTAGTACCAACTTATCCACGAGCCTTCGATAGAGCGATTTCGCAGTTCAGGGCTGCGCAGCCGAGTCCCGTGACAGCTGCGGGGAGACCTCATCACGTGACTGGAGGCTTGGTTGGACTGCGCCAGCAACTTGAATCTGATCGTGTTTGTGGCTGTTCGTTGCTGTTCGTTGCGTCTCCTTCTTCTCTCTCCTCTTGCTTCCATCTCTCATGAAACTCTGGGTGTGTGTGACCGCTTCGACATATGCTAAACCGCCTGCAGACCGACTCCGGGCCTCCCATACAGCCGGGTAGATGGCAATGTTTTGATTGACGGTCTAGGGTCTGCCTGCGCCCACTCTCCTCCAATCTTTTGCGTGCCGACTTCCGTGGGAAATGGAAAAGGCTGTCCAGGGTGGCGCACCAGATGTGTGCAAACCCTTTTCTCTGCCCTATAGGATGGAGTCCTACTGGCCACGGCAATACAGAGTACTAAAGTCCGGCGGTTTGTTGCGGTTTTAATACCGGTCTCCTAGGAACTGCTATCTCTCCACACCCTCGGATGTTGAATTCTACTCTTCATTTAAAGCTTTCTCATGGCCCTCTGACTCCCAAGCCTGTCTTGCCCCCTTGTCAGACATGACTCTCGGTCCGATTGCTACAGCGAGCTACCCGGACACCGACCGAGCATCATGTCAAGTAGACTATACAGAACTCGAACCGCCCCCGAGGATAGGCCCCAAGGAGTCGAACGGGATGCTTTAAGACGCGCCCACTCGAGTGCTGAAGATGAACGTCATGACTTGTTTCCCCCTCAATTCATGGATGACCATGGCGTACACCACTATCAAGCCAATGCCAGGCGAGATGAGCTAGACGAGGAAGCGACCATTAGCGACGATGACGCCTCCGACGTCGAAACCATACAGGAAGTGAGGTTCGGCGTCCGAGATAGTCGAGATGTTGAAGCAGATCTTGCCGAGGTGAAGAGTGAGAAGTCTGCAAGATCAGTAAAAGACCCTAACTTGGTATGCCTCCCCAACTCAGCAACTGAAGGCTGGTCTGAACCGTTGTTAGGTGACGTGGGAAGGGCCAGAGGACCCCGAAAACCCTAAGAATTGGTCAAACGGGAAGAAATGGGCCGCAACCCTCATTGTGTCCTCCTTCACCCTCATGTCGCCTGTTGCCTCCTCGATGGTTGCGCCTGCGTTGAACAAGATAGGTGAAGATCTAGACATTGGATCCGAGATTGAAAAGTCTCTCACCCTCTCCATCTTCATCCTCGCCTATGCGGTCGGGCCGTTGGTGCTAGGACCTCTCTCCGAAATCTATGGTCGAGTTATTGTGCTGCAGTTGTCCAATCTCTTCTATCTCGCATTCAATATCGGATGCGGATTCGCGAAGACTAAAGGCCAACTCATTGGCTTCCGCTTTCTGGCTGGCCTGGGTGGTAGTGCCCCTCTGGCACTCGGCGGCGGACTCCTCAGCGACTGCTGGCGGGCCGAGGAACGGGGCAAATCCATTGCCATTTACTCCCTAGCCCCCCTTCTCGGTCCGGCTATAGGCCCTATAGCAGGAGGGTTCATAGCCATGAAGACGACCTGGAGGTGGTGCTTTTGGGCGACGTCCATCCTCGACGCCGGTGTTCAAGTCCTTGGTCTAATATGGCTGCGGGAGACATACGCCCCGAAGCTGCTCAGTGTGAAAGCCAAAAGACTCCGAAAAGAGACGGGCAACGCTGATCTTCACACTGAATGGGAGCATCCTGACAGGACCTTGGGAAAGGTTCTCAGCTCGAGCCTGGTCCGCCCATTCCGACTTCTAGGAACGCAACCCATTATTCAAGCTCTTGCCATCTACATGTAAGAACTGTGCACATTGGTCAAGAACATTTGCTAACACATTCCAGGGCATATCTCTACGGCATCATGTACCTTGTCTTGTCCACTTTCCCATCGGTTTGGGAAGAAGTCTACCACGAATCCGTCGGGGTTGGTGGCCTGAATTACATCTCTCTCGGTCTTGGCTTCTTCTTGGGCACTCAGGCAGGCGCAGTGGTCAATGACCGACTCTATCACAAACTGAAGAAACGGAACAACAACCAAGGATCGCCGGAATTCCGCGTGCCTATGATGATACCAGGGGCTATCCTAGTGCCTATCGGGCTCTTCATGTACGGCTGGAGTGCATACGAACACACTCACTGGATTGTGCCGAACATCGGTGCAGCCATCATTGCCGCAGGTACTGTTTTGGGTTTTCAGTGCACGCAGACATATATTGTGGACGCATACCCCCGTTATGCTGCCTCTGCCATCGCCGCTGCGGTTGTTCTCCGAAGCTTGGCCGGGTTTGGATTGTGAGTATATGTCCCTTTGCGTTGTGCACCACAGCCTAATCATCCGACACAGTCCTCTTTTTGCGCCCTATATGTATCAAGCGCTACATCTTGATTGGGGAAATTCGCTGCTCGGCTTTATCGCCATAGGCCTCGGGATTCCGGCCCCGCTTCTGCTTTGGAAATACGGGCGGTTATTGCGCGAGAAAAGCACATATGCAGCAGGTTAACGGGACTCGGGGATTACAATGCAGCAGCCATGTGTCTGCTGAATATGCTTCCCCTGGAACCACATCCCTGGAGTCTGCACCGTCCTACCGATACACCCTGCTAATAGTGCATCTCAAAGCCAACCTGGGCTTGGGCCATGAACAACGCCCAACCGGTTTCTCCGTCTTGGCCCTTCATCATCTGGATCACATCATCTTCTTCTCAGGTAGGTGGCTACGATCCCTGTGGCCATGTGTGGTCGCCGTATACCATCAGCATCAAGTCATCATTTGCCGCCACAATATTTCGAAACGGTATACTGAGATCAGATGCAGATGCGGTGCAGCCGTGGTGGTTGGAGACCAATGCCGCCGGCCCAGCTGCTTCTGTGGCCGGAATGGTTATCTGAAGCATTCATTGCGCACGCTTTGCTGCTCACCAATAGAGCGTACGCTGGAAGTCCTTCGGTGGTCGGCTACGTCCGTCAACCTTCCTGGCTCTGGCAGTGCGTGAGCTTTTTAGCGTCCTTCAAGTAATACACGACGAGCAAGGCCTGAGCGACACATGAACACGCAGCCAGAGCAGCTCCGCTACGTTCGCCAACTTGGATCACGAAAGAAAAGCGACAATCAATATGACCAGCCAGATCGAGACATCATATCATGGAGAAAACCATTGCCATCTTCGTTCTCTCCTCTTCCTATGATGCCGGTTCCTACTCGATCGATTCCCGAACATCTTATGTTGATATATTCCTCCCGGTGACGGGACGCATATTCAGTCACCTTTGAGCGTTCTAGACCTTACTTACATAGAAACCGACACGGGCCCGGGCCCTCGAACTATCTATGCATCCCCACGAATAGCTGATGATCCAGCACCAGACATGACTTGCATTCATTGGAGGACCACATAGAGTTCTTTGGATAACATGTATTGCGCTGCGCGACTCTAGGTTTGGAGAATGTCCCATCTTGATAGCATGACACCTTGAGTAGAAAACACAACCAAGTAATAAATAATAGAACCATCTGTGGATGAGGTGTCTTTACAGGTGGTTAAAATCAAAATCCATTAATGAGTTCAGCTCAATGAATCTAGCCCGCCCTTGCATGCTACAAGATTGCTTACTTCTACATAACCCGTCTCTCATCCGGTCTACGCGAAGCCTGGTACATGCACCTCTCGTCGTCTGTCACCCAGTGCTATATTCGCACATCTCAGATACCGGGCCAGACTGCGGTACCTTGCCCCATTATCTACGGTACGGTCTTGTGTTCTTTTTGGCACAGCAGGGGCGCGATCGAGTCACCGGCGCGGAGATTTCAAGCACAAAGTATGGAGGTTCGTGCGTGACCACTGCAAACCGTCACTGGCCCACGAGAGTGCATGGTATAGGCCATACTGATATGATCAAGGACTGTACGAGGCTTGTATGAGATGATTGGGGGACTGAAGTGTGTAATTCACGCCAACATGCAAATTAGGATTGTGTTGTAATATGTTGGTACCTGATGTCAGTTAACCTGCCCACGGAGACGGAATACTGCGGAGCCCGGGCCTATCAGATCCCTACCTGGTTTGATTCGTGGCCTAGGAGAATTCTCTCCGGTATGGCCAATGTGATATTCGACAGGTGGATGTCTTCAAAGTCCGGTGTTCGATAGAACAGTGAACTGGAATTGGAGTTGTGATTGACCTGATCTGGCGCGGGTCGATAGTAGTAGAGTGGCCCAACTGGGCCTGACATAACTGCTTTGTTCGTCACGCGCTCCAGAAATTGAAATTGAAAAGGGTACGGTGTACAAACATGACACGTCAGCATCTACCGTAGTGGTGATATGCTAGAGCAGCGCCATAGCTTGAGAGGATACCGGTTGCAGCTCTGTTGATACTTGAGCCAAGGTCATTGCGACGTCAACGCATGATGACAGATATGTATCTTCCCTGGCTGTTTGAACGAAGGCTGTCATAGCATGTCCATCCTAACCAACTGATAAACATGTTACACCGTGTTGGATGTGCGGACGGTTTCAGGAAGAGGCGTAAATTGCGTGAACCTTGATCTGCGGCCAGTGAACAGGGAAAGGCGTAGTGTTACCATCGGAGGTATCGGCACCGAATAGAAGTCAAGACAGCGTCCATGGAAGCTCGGAGAAGAAACGGGACGAGCAGGGCAGACTGCTATTTCCGGCAAGTCCTTGCAATCACTGGAGGACAGAGAAAGCAGCCGTCGTTCCATTGTGCAAGTCGGGTCATAGGTTCTCCTGAGAAGTTGGTGCATCCTATGGAGGAGTTCAGGGTAGTCGGCCTGACCGACGTCATGATCCTGCCAGCTACTGCAGTGATAAAGGCATGAGACACCAAAGGGAAGCATCATTCCGGTTCTGCATTTGCAGATTGTCTTCTGGTACATGACAGTCATGACCCCAATATCGAGCAAAGAGTTCGAGAGGTTTTGACTGTGTGACTAAGTTCCAAGGCGTGCACTTGTACTGCGTTGGATGCATTTCACGCCATCCCTTGCTTAATCAGTATAAGCAGGCTGGTGCTCCTTGTTTCATATGTATTTGGAAAGTCACATCTGAAGTGTGCCTACTTTCCAACCCCAAGCGGTCTTCGAACCAGGGTAGGCCTGAAAGAAAGTCGCATTCTTCCACCGGAGAGGGCAGCAGCGAGATTGCCAATGGAGTTCGCCGTCAAATCGCGTGGCTGAGCGGCTTGTAGGCTCGGCATCAGAAGGCCTTGATTCCTAGATTCGTACGACTGCGACATCATCCTGTGAGCACAGCCTCTAGAATGTCACAGATGAAGGCCGTGAGACCTCGCTGCTGCCATCCACGGACCTTGATACGCTAAGAGAGCACTAGCTCCGTCGACATGAAGGTGACGGGTCCGAACAGCATGTGAGCCGTCACACGAAGCCACCTGGGGGCCCAGACGGGATAACTTCCGGCAGCCGCCCATGTTACATGAGATCAGCCGATGAGGTTGAGTCGTTGTTCCAGGGCCCGGAGCCGTGCAAGATAAGTCTCCGGTTGTCCTCAATTGGAAAGGCAACCGGAATGATGTGAGATTATCCCAATGGCTGTTTGGGGACTCTCGCTGACTCAGTGCCCTCAGATTCCAGTGTGTAACACCCCTTGAACTAAAGCATCAAGCTTTCCTTGTGGCATGACAGAAGGAAGAAGTAGTAACTTCGGTGCCGTGTATTAATGAATGCCTCGTGACAGTGTTGGAAGAGCAGTGTATTGAGGGTTGAGCATCGCCTTGTCCGTCACTTTTGGAACGGACATGCAAGCATCGAGCAAGTACGGTTAAAAAGCCAACTTTCTGAACGATTCCGCGCTGAACTTCCGGCGTCCCTGGACCGTGTTCAAGTCCTCGACTTTTGGCTTCCACCATTACGTCCACAAATCGTGCTTTGCTCTTGCCTGGTGCCGACGTTGGCGTTTGCGGCATCGGCCCTCCCAGCGTTCGAAGAGCAGATCGCGCAAGGCTTCATGACGCATCCGGCCCCATTGCATTGACGGCATTTGTTTTCGCCGCTATCTTGGACGTCAGCTCATGCACAGAATATCTTTCTGGCATATGCTTCGGCAAGAAGCTTTGAGGCTGCGCTTACCGAGGAGCGTTTCCAGCACAGCCACGACAGGTGACCCATGATTTTGGATGTGAGCACATGATGGTGAAATGACAAGTGTGAATTGGGCGTTGAAATTCTCCTGAGTGGGACGTTGGACTTATCGCTTTGACAATGCGGAAATTGTTGTGTTTGTCACAGTCTTCGAGAGCAGCCGTTTGAAACAAGAATCAAGGCCGTTGAGACGGGGGAGTGCCATTTTATAAGCCACCCTCGCCGTGCATATGACAGATGTCTGATGGCGAAATCTGCCAAAGATGTATGTGGTGAGAACAAATCAAATTGCCAGTCTTTGTGTACCACTGCAATCAGATTCATGTATGAAATATGGCTTCATGACCACGCCTCACCGTCATTTATTCTGGGTCTCGAGGGCCTGAATTTAAGTGCAACACCATTATCCTGTCACGGGAAGAGTTGCCCACTGCAACGGGGTGCCCGATCGGATGTGTCAAGGAACTGCAAGGACTGTGAACAATGCCAACTGCGTTGGGGAATATGTGTTTCACGTAAATGACGTGCAAGGTTAGGGCGGCTTTGCATGAGAAGGTTTGATCCCTGAAGGTTTCCAGCGGTGGTGGTGGCATCACGCCAGTCCCATAAGTCAAATATTCTGCATGGTTCCAATTCGACATCAGCACCAGCGTGGCAGCTGCCACATTCGCGTGTCTTTAGTACATGCAGGACAGATGGTGTTTCGATCCCACCGATGGTCGGTGACGGCTGGCTCGTTGTTCGGTAGTTGCCATTGTTTCAATTTCCTCGAGAAGAGATCTAGCTCAAGGCGGAATTTGCAGTTGCCGCCAACATGAGTCCATAGTCCTAGAAGATCAAGTACTGCGACAGAAAATATTCATTCGTACAGAGTTTCATAATTAGAATCGTTATCATCGTGGGTGGCAGTGGCGGCCTTCGTGTAGCATTCAAGCAAGGTAAATTGACGCGTTGAAGGTTAGGGTGCCAACAACAGACAGAGGTCTCGGATCAGCGTCTGTACCGACTAATCTTCCGGTGTCACAGGCAGACTGCTGCGTATGAGCAAGCTGACAGTAACAGAAAAGCTCGATGCCACACAATAGTCTTGCAGCTTGATAACGAGTAGTTGACATCAATCCTCAATCAACCAATTGTATAGAGGGGGCAAGGCAAGTGGCTTGTATCTGGGTCGCTCTTTTGCGAAGGGCTGACCTTTCGCTGGCCCTCCCAATAGCGAGCCAAAGGTTTGACGACAGCAGCAGGTCCCTCCGGATAAGACACGTTCGATACACTCACTCGTAAGGTGATGGAGACCCAGAGAATTGAACCCTCGGCTTACAGCCCGTACAACGGTGAGCTGATCATAGTCGAAGGCGCTTTACGTCGTAGATTTCAGCCACGGCGTCATAAATTGCCACCAACTTCACAACTGAGAACTGAGAATGGCAGGCTAAGAGAAGTATGTTCGGGCCTAGTCCAGTGAAGACACCCGCTTTGGACAATGCCAGCTTTTCAGAGGAGAGCCCACTCTGCCATTGGAGACAGGCCGTGTGTATCGCCGGTAGAAGTCGAGAACCATCAAATGCTTCTTGCCATGATGATGAAGCTGTAAGATGAAATGAACACAGGAAGAACAGCTGGTTTCTGGACTCGCAAGCAGAGTTGGAGCACTAGAACCCACATAGTCACAGCTGAGGCAGACATCCATCGCTTATTTCAGTGGTACAAGAGAACAGGCCATATGATTTCTTAGATTGAGCTTAGGACGTGTCGGAAAATTCGAAACGTCTAAAGGGCGACTAGAAGGTGCGTGCTAGCAGGGCTATCGTAATAAGGATTGGTGTTAGGCGGAGGAAGTCTCTTCAAGCCTCCAAGTATAGGACCTCGTCTGCGCGACTCAGCTCTGGAGACGGCAGATATGCTTCCATTCGGAATGGCGAGCTGGCCGACAGGTGCCACAAAGTCATCAGGGAGTGGCGAAAGGAAGGCGTGCACCGTCTCGAAATCCGAAGGCGTCCAGTCTTGACCGTCTCCTGAGCGTGGATAGACAAGGAGGGGAGGTGAGGATGAGGAAGAAGATGATGTGTCAAAGGCAGGGCAACGCTGTCCACAGGCTGCAAGACATGGTATGACATAGCTCAGGCTAGCCTACCAAAGGGATTGATGCCAGCAGGACGGAGGGTGGGAAGGATAGACATGTCGTTTATTTCCCCTGGAGATGGAGGGCGACGATGCAGAGCGCAGCTGAGCCAAAGACGCAGTCGGTGAGGGAGGTGCACGTGATCCTCTAGAGCCTTAATTAAGCCGAGGCATTTGGCAGCCGCCGCGCGGTTTCTCGTGGCGTGGTCGATTACCCATATGTAGGAGTATCCAGCATAACGATGACCGGCAATGATTGTAATTTTGGAAAGGGCCGATACGCCTGCTCGAAATCTTCTATTAAATAGACCCCCGGCTCCTGTTTCACTTTCTAGGGTCCATTAGAGTCACCGCCATCCAACAGAGCGACGCATATCTCTCCAACGCCTTGAACAGACGCCGCCAGACCCTAATTTGCGAGTATGGCTCCCAGGAACTTGGGCAAATACCAGTTCTACAACGTGACCGTTCCTTCCGAGAATGTGGTCCATGTGGAGATCAACAGACCACAAAAGCTGAATGCGTTCTTCGGGCCTATGTGGTGGGAACTGAAGGATATTTTTGAGAAACTATCAGTCGATCCTGAAACTCGGTGTGTTCTGCTCTCAGGGGCAGGTGATCGAGCATTCACAGCAGGTAAGTCACCAAGCGCCCTTAATGGCAGAATAACGTTTTGCTAAACTGTCATGTCTTTACAGGGCTCGATGTTGAAGACGCCGCGAAGCCGGACAACGCCATCTCTGCCGGAGGATTTGCCGATCCTTCCCGCAAAGCGACAGTTCTTAGAAGGCATATTCTCGAGCTTCAAGAAGTCATCTCGACAGTCGCCCGTTGCGCGAAGCCGGTAGTGGCCCTGCTGCATGGGTATACCTATGGATTGGGTATTGACCTGGCCTCGGCATGTGACATCCGCTTCTGCGCAGCTGACACCAAGTTCTGCGTCAAGGAAGTGGACATTGGGCTAGCTGCAGACGTGGGAACCCTGAGCCGCCTCCCCAAGGTGGCGGGCGGAGTGACGAGCTGGGTCAAGGAAGTGTCTCTTAGTGCACGACCCTTTTCGGCGGAGGAAGCGGAGAAGAACAATCTTGTCAGCCGGGTGGTAGCTGGCGGCAAGGCGGAACTTATCAAGGAGGGACTGGAGTTCGCAAAATATCTGGCGAGCAAGAGTCCAGTGGCGGTGCAAGGGACGAAGAACATCCTCGACGCGGCCTGGGGTAGGACAGTGGAAGACAACCTCAACTACACGGCGGTCTGGAACCAGGCCATGTTGCAAAGCACCGATGTTCAGCGAGCCATCTTGAGTGGACTGAAGAAGAAGACGCCGACATTTGAAAAGCTATAATTATAACCTCTGAGGTGGTGATCCATAGTACTGAGGCCGAAGAAGACAGTCCTCTGGATTCAGCCAGAGCTTCCTTCAGTGGGAAATCAATGGTAGATGGTAGACGATACACGGAACACGGAACTCGGTGAGGAGACGGCTATATGATAAGGCTACAAGCCATGTTGGCAAGGCCACCTGCCGCGCTGATGGGGCAAAACCTGTCTCGACAAAGCTCTGGAAAAGTCTGAAGACTGACTTGACGTGAGGTTTGCATGGGTTGGGGACACACAGTCCGGAGTCGGCAGCCCGTGACAGCCTCGTTTCTCAGACGACGAGAGCGAGCACACAAGATAAAGTTCCGTAGACATAACAGACCCCATCGGGTCCGCCCCAACATCAGGCCCTCCTCTCACGTGACTGCTGTGACAGTTGCTGGGCACCAGCTGGGCAGAGCAATGATGACGTATTCACAACATGGATGAAACAGGCTGCACCTCAGCTGCAGGTGCAGCCACCACAGCCTGTTTACCCAGGGCTTACTTGTAGGGGCTCGCTGCCCGGTCCTTGTAACCGGGGACAGAGTCGGCAATGCTGGTTTGCCACAGTGACACCACGACTGTTCAGATTTTTGGAACGTAGCAACGAGCTGTCGTTAACCCACCCAGAGCTGCGGCCGGTGCTGTCCACGAACGAGCGCTAGTGGAAAAAATAACAATAATAATGATCCTGCCAACTGGTGACGTCGGTGTCCAATGTCCCCTTGGTGCCCTTGTCCAGTGCCCGCAAAGCTGCCAGTGGGCGCCGCGTCACTGCCCCGAGCTTGGCTCTGGTCAGCTGTTTATTAGCACTGGGGGGCCCAATTCTCTAGTTTCAATGCCTTAGGACCCCCCGGAGAAGCTTCATCACCTGCAAGCCCATATCGTCATTCCGCCTTCTTCCCTTCCGCATAATCCTAGACCTAAGACCTCTTGGTCTTTTCTCTCCATACTAGTACTGCTTCGCACCTCGACTTTCCCAGTTCTATTGTACTCGACCCTCACGCATTATTCTGTTGTAGACTTACAGTCACGCCGCCTACCTTCGCAGCTTGCGCCCCCGCGAGTACACATCCATCTCCCAAAAATCAGGGCGACTAGGCAACATGGTGTCACGCACAGTAAACCTCATTCTTCGAGGGTTGGAGGTAAATCCCTAGTCCCTCGTCTTCACGAGCTGCACAAGCTCCAGCTGCTGATGCAGCGCTTCACAGTTCCTCTTCACCCTCATCGTCATGTCCTTGGTCGGGAACATCATCGCCACAGCCTTCGCCGGTGACCCCTCCGTGATCAACTACGACATGTTTGTTGCCACCTTCGGAATGCTCTCTCTTTTCTACCTGATCGCGATCGCCTTCAACGACGGGTTCACTGGGCATCCAATCATTCCAGTCGTCCTTGATGCCCTTAATGTCATCTTCTTCTTCTGCGCAGCCGTCGCCATGGCTGCCGAGCTCGGCGCACACTCTTGCAGCAATTCTGTACGTTGGCTCCCATACGCTCTTCCGCAAGTCTCTCCACCTTTCTAACCTGTCGCTAACTATTTAAATGCAGTCATACACAGCTTCCAACAAGATTACCAACGGTTCTCACGACAGGGCAGGCCGGTGTCGTGAAGCCCAAGCCTCGACCGCCTTCTTGTGGTTCGCATGGGCCTGCTGGACGGCTAGCTTGGTCTTCTCTCTGCTTGATGCCCGCAGTGGCGGTGTGAATTTGAGGACCTCGGGTAGAAGAGGTGCGCCCGTCATGTCTCAGGTGTAAAAAGTGAGCAGAGAGCTGGAAAATGAATGGACTACAAGAGCCAGGATTTCTTCTCGGACTCTTGCATCACGTATGCTGAGAGACTATCCCTCCTTCCCTGTCGATTGAACAGAGAGACTGACGATGCCACAAGTCTAATCTCTGCTCTCTCCCCGCCCGATACTCACCTTTATCCACCGCGAGCACAATGGGGTAACACAATGGTGTCGAACTGAGGCTGGCCTAATCTCGGGACCGATACCTGGCGTTGAGATTGCCCTTATTCTGGTTTTTCCTGGTTGGTTTTGGAGTGAAGATGTGCGGCACCGATATCGGCCTGTTTGTCCGCGTTGCTATGCGTGGCTGACCACACGAGGCACCGAAAACAAGAAAAAGAAAAGAAAAAAAGGGACATGTTGATGCATACTATGAAGTGAGAGAAATCCACGCCAGGACCGCGGGATTGCGCTGGGGTTAATGTGTATGAGTGCATGCATGGGGTTAGCTGGTCTCTATTTGCGTACTGCATGATCTGGCTTTGCGATAAGTAATCTTGTAGTAGTCCGGAAGGATAATGGAGAACCATTGACATAATCTACATTTCTTTTCTGTCTCGCGCTGTGCCGCAGTCTGGCCAAGTGCCCTCACCTGGTACAGGCACAAGCTACACCGCCAGCAACCAGCGTTGACTGTTGGAAAAGTGCATTACACGCGATTTAGCTAACAAATCCACACACCGGCACGTCCACCATATCGCCAAAGTCCAGCTTTACAAGCTTAGAAGTGGATGGCGTGACTGTACGTGGCCATGGCAGCCTCCTTGAAAGCCTCCGCCAACGTGGGATGGGCATGGCACGTCCGCGCCACGTCCTCACTCGAGGCACCGTACTCCAGCGCCAGCGTACCCTCGGCGATCATCTCGCCGGCGTTGGGGCCAATGATGTGAACGCCCAGGATGCGATCCGTCTCTGCATCGGCCAGGATTTTGACCAGACCATCGGTTTCCAAGTTGGTCTTGGCCCGCGAGTTGGCCGTGAAAGGGAATGTGCCGACCTTGTAGTTGACCCCGGCAGATTTCAGCTCGGCTTCGTTCTGCCCTACCCACGCCACTTCCGGGTGCGTGTACATGACAGACGGGATGGCGCCGTAGTTGACGTGCCCGTAGCCTTTCGTGATGAATTCGACAGCTGCGACGCCTTCCTCTTCAGCCTTGTGCGCCAGCATGGGCCCGAATGTTACATCGCCAATCACACGGATGTGAGGGATCTTGGTTCGGTATTCCTGGTCAATGACAAGACGCTTGCGCTCATCAAGCTCAATGCCGATGTTCTCAATGCCCAATCCATCAGTGTAGGGTCGTCGGCCGATGGCGACGAGGACAACATCCGCTTCTAGGGTCTCGTTCTTGCCACCTTTTGCTGCCTCCACGTCGAGCTTCACGCCATCTCCGCTGGCATTACCTTTCAAAACTTTAGTGTTGACTTTGAACTTGATGCCTTGCTTTGCGAGAAGCTTCTGTGATTGTTTGGCAATATCGAGGTCCATGCCGGGTCCGCCGATCTGACCCAGGAACTCAACCACCGTGACTTCGGAACCGAGTCGAGACCACACCGATGCCTATTCCAGCAGTCAGAATCCGCGCATTTTGGAGAAAGCTGTAGCTGAGGTTCGACTTACCATTTCAAGACCAATAATACCACCCCCGATGACGATCATCTTTTTGGGCACCTCTTGCAGGGCGATTGCGCCGGTACTCGTAATTACCTTCTTCTCGTCGATCTCAAGACCCGGGAATGGCGTTGTCTCACTACCGGTGGCGATTACGATGTTTTTGCCCTTGATCTCCGTCTCGCCTCCTTCAGTCAGGTTGACTTTGATTGTGTGCTCGTCCACAAACGAGCCTGTTCCTTTGATGTAATCCACCTTGTTCTTCTTGAACAAGAATTCTACACCTTTTGTCAAACCGGCCACGGATTCATCCTTCGCTTTCATCATTTGCGCCAGGTTGAGTTTGACATCATTGACGTCTATGCCACGCTTTTTGGTGTCGTGTAATATTTGATGGTAAAGATGTGAGTTGTTCAGCAGGGATTTCGAAGGTATACAGCCGACGTTCAAACATGTGCCTCCCAAGGTTCCTCTCTTCTCGATACAAGCAGTCTGCCTTACAGTCAGCAGTTGTCACGGAGTAGGGCGGAAACAGCATTTTAAGTACCTTTAAGCCTGATTGTCCAGCTTTGATTGCGCCCACATACCCTGCGACACCACCACCAATGAAGACGATATCATAGTCTGAAGCTTCTGAGGCGTAGCCCCTTCTTCTTTGCTGATTTTGTGAGACTATCTGGAAGCTTGGGGCTGTTCGAAGGTTCGCTGGACCAAGGTGTGGAGCTTTGGTTGAGAGAAGCGATCGGCTCGCTCGGGGGACCAAGGTCTTCAGCATTGTTGAAGAGCGCAGACTTGTAGAAATGAAGAAGAGAGAGGGAAACGCGACAAGAGGTCGCAGGAGTGGTATAATCGCCAAAGAAGACGAGGAGAGGCAAAAATGCTGAGCAATGTGAGTCAATTACTTCGACATTTGTCGATGGCAATTCAAGTTCGGAGTCGAAAGCTCAAGCCCGAGCAAAAGGGCAACCGGCCCAAAAGAGTCTAGTGGCTGTCGGGGGAAATAGCGAGCCTACGACGGAGTACTCGCAGTACTCCGGCACACGTAGTAGTCCAGAGTAACTCCGCCTTGCCCAACCGCGAATATCCATATCCTTCCGCTCCGAGTCACGTGCGCTGAACCTCCGCCCCTTTCCCTTTTCCCCTTCCACAATGCACGATGTAGGCTGCAATTCTCTTGCTCCTCTCTTTCTCTGCCCAGCGCCAACCCAGAGACAGGAGCTCGAAAGCACTCTTCTTCGGCCTATCTTTTTGGTCCTGTGAACGCTTCCGGACAAATAAGGCTTGGATTGGCACTCTCAGCCCTGTCCGTCCCGTAGCTGGTTCGAAAAGCCCCGGTTCCCACCAATAATTGGCCCCAGTCCGCAATCGCAATCGTCGGATGCCACTAGCAGTCGTCGGCGCTGCAGCCAATGAAAAGGAACATAATTCTGGCTCGGCATCCCCTTACCATGTAAGACGAAAGAAAGATCCTGGACCGAGCAGGGCTAGGGCAAGATCAATCCTGGGGCTCCAATGTCTTCCTTCTCCCAACCTGATGGAAGCTATCACCAGCTAGTTGTGGATAATGGACAATCAAGTCTGTGACCACAACAGGCCCCCAGGACAGAATGCAAGACTGGCTTCAAAACGAACAAGTGCTTCTGCTCGACGGATTGCTCGCCTGGAAGCATTTGTCAAGGGAAACAAAGTTTCATATTTTCAATAATGCACATGCAAACTCAGCACGCATCCACGAATGCTTTCTGATCTTTGGCACCCCGAGCTTACATGGGGTTGAAGCAGCTTGTCTCTGCATCATGCGCAGTTGAAGGGGAGTTGTTGCCGCAGACCCCATGAATCAGCTCTCTCTTCCAGTCAAACTCGTTGGATATTAGAACACAGCCTTGTCATAGCTCGCGGGTCCATGTCATGCCCAGTGTTGCTGTTTGTGGCAAGGACAACGGCTGTGCTATATCAACCATAACCTCAGTTTGCTAGCACTCACTATACTTCAATGAGACGATACTGACATTTGATGAACGTACAAGAATCATTGATATCGCATGCTTGGCACACTGAACAGGGAAACAAGACTCACGATGTCTGGCTTCATGTCCCCAGCCTTGAAGCTGCTGCGGGACTCGGTAACCTGGGGGATGTACGGGAATCAGAGATTTTAGAATCAACATAATTGAGCGACTTTCGTGTTGAATGAAGGAGTACTGGCTTGTGTTCAGCCTAGTTCTGGCTGGTTCAAGATGGTGAAAATCGACAAGGAATCAGAACAATGACTAACCAATGCTCAATGTCAACAAATTCGGAACAAACTTCACAGCAAGTGTTAACATCATTCACAGCACCTGCGGGCAAATATAGCGGTCCTGTGAGACCTCACTTTTTCGCCGCACCCTTTCGGCGGGGACTTCAACAGGAACAACAGCAAAAATGCCGTACCCGTGTTCTTCTGCAAGGCATTCGTGTGCTCAGCCAACTTGTTTGCTACACAAACTCTACAGAAGTCCTGGAACACTTCAGCAACTCCTCCCAGTCGCAAACATTACCAGAAACCAAGACCTCATCAGGCCCTTCCCTTTTCCTCAAGGTACCATTCAGGTTCACCAGCTCACCAGATCACCTAATCTCGGTCATGCGCACTCCTTCGTGAAGATGGCATGCTTTGAAGATGCAGCTTGTTGTGTACGGTATGTCGATCAAGTTGCCCATATCAAGCAAGAGGTCGTAGTCGGTCTCAGCATGGGATTTCCACGATTTTTGGCTCTCTTGACCGATCTTTCATGCAAAACCAGCGACTTGTCCACCTACATGGCAGGCCTCACGCTCTCCGACGGACCATGGCAGTACCGCATGGCAAAAGTGACACAGACAGAGCTAGAGCAAGAGACAAGGAGATGCGAATGGCGCATGCTTAAGTCCCACGCCGATTTCGACATCATGCTGCAAGAGGTGGCCTATGCCCCGGAAGCCTGTGTTGAGGTTCAACATGTAAGTGTAAACCAAGATGCGCACTCGTCGCCAGCCTACAGGAAATAGAGTGCTATGCTAACTGGCCCTTTCTCCTCCAACACAGTCATCCCGACAGCCGCGGCCGCTGCCTCTACCTCTGCCTCTGCCTCTGCCTCAGGCTGTAAAGAAGACCGCGCAGTCTGAAATGAGGGCGGCGCATTTTCAAGTACAGTCCACACAGTCTGAGGTGCGGGTGGCGCATTCTCAAGTAAAGCCTACACAGTCTGAAGTGAGGGTGGCGCATTCTCAAGTAAAGCCCACACAGCCTGAAGTGAAGGCAGCGCATGCTCAAGCAATGCCGGCAGAGAAGCCATCCCCATTCGCCATCTGGGAACAATACCGCTGGCCGCCGTTCATTGTTGACAGCGGAATTATCGACGAGGCCCAGCGAGAGGAGCGTCTGGAGGGAATCCACTTTGGCAAGGCTTCCAAGGTCGAACCGATGGACCTGGGCAAGGCTAGAGAGTAGGGAGCATTGTGGGGGCCCGAGACCGACTCTACCGGGGCTTGCGGCCAGGAGAGAGAAAAACAGCTTAGAGCTTGTTGAGATTGTGGCTGGCCAGTGCCTGAAAACAGCCATGGGTGCCGGAACAAGATTGAACAGATTACAGAGTACATGGCCTTAGCCTTCACGATCGTCACCATCAGCATCTCATATCTCTCCATCTCTCAACCGTGACCAACCCCATGTGGATCCGTCAGCTAGTTCATTGTATCTACGGATATTTAGGACATACAGAGTACGGAGTAGACGTTGGAATCTTGGATCACATGACTGCACCTGTGTTCGGCAAACCTGCTTGGGATAAGTACACGCGTAAATTGAAGACGCGTCGAGCGCGGTCCCACTGCCATTGCCGGCACGTGTACAGAGTCCCAGCACCCACCAGGCACCCTTCGTGTTAGAAAGTAGTTTGTAGTGATGGGATTGATGTTCCTGTCGTGGTATTCTTATGCTATCTACACAAGACATTCATCCGCATGATACTAGGCTCCACGCATCGAAATGGACGACGCCATTCCACTGCTAGACACGCCGAAAAGGAAATCAATCCAGTCGCGAGCAGATGCGCTTCGAACCGCTCTCAAGGACTTTGAACGGAGTTTTGCGGCCAAGAACGATGGCCGGAAGCCCAGTAAAGAGGACATCAAGACCGATGCGGTTGTTGCAGCAAAATACAAAGAGTACAACAAGGTGCGGGACGTCTTAGCAGGCAGGCTCAGTCTCGATGTACTCCATGCTCCTCAAACTCGACGGAGACATGAGCATACCCGGACAGACAGTGCGATCAGCCTAACGCCCAATCGACCACGGCATATCGTCAACACTCCCTCAAAAGCGCGCCTGCATCCGAACGACATCGATCCATATGACGCACCTTCGTCGATTTCGCCAAAGGTCATCCCCAGCGCAATTGGACCGACACCGCGGCGAGATGGAACCGTGCTAGGAATATTCGATTTGCTTCCGAGGTCCGGGTCAGCAAGAACTGCTACCTCTCAAGAGACCCCTTCGAGTAGAAAGAGGAAGATTGACTGGCTGTTTGATACCCAGGATGGAGACAAAGGGTTGAACGTCGCGATTGCACAAACACCGAGTCAAAGGCGGAGCAAACAGGCAGAGAATGGGCCTGGATCTATGTTGACTATCACTCCACGGTCACATGTCTTGAATACAGGAAGAAGACAGCATTCCAAGACGCCAGCGAGTGAAGGCAAGAAGTTCATGCTCAACCACTTTTTCGCGACGCCGAGTGCCATCCGATTCGCCACTATGATCGACGCAGATGATGCCGATGTCCATGCCAAATCTCCAGCCCAAAGCAGCAAAACTCCGTTGCGGGATATCGTTCTGGGGCGATCACCATCAAAGGATGACGGAGCAGTAGTTACAATGGATGCCACCCCGCCCTACTTGAAGCGATCCTTCTCATTTAAAGAGAGACTGCTATCCGCCTCTGCAGGCTCCACTACTGTGTCGTCGTCGTGGAAGAACGCCACTAGCCCGACCTTGCGCAGGGCAGGCCCACGGACGCTTCGACATGCCAAGTTCGGCCCGAAGCCGCTCAGCCAGATGATTGCAGACCTCCAGAGCCAAAGCGCCGAAGTGAGAGATGAACATGACGACGATCTCGACGCTTTGCGTGAGATGGAATCGACTAAGCTCAATATCCTCGTCGGCGATAGTCAAGTGGAGGAAACCCCCACCGAGGTTGATCACGGCCCCTCGGCAGAGCCAGTCAGGACATGGACGAAGAAGGGACAGAAGAGAACAACAAGACGTGTGATCATGAGACCTGTGAGAATGAAGCCTGCTGAACTACCCAAATTTGTTGCTGCAGAGGAAGACGACGACGACGAGTTAGCGTTGGATAATCAGTGTGATGACGAGGACGATGTCAATGACACGTCACGTATGGAAGAAACCCAGATTGACTCAGCTATTGGCCCTGAACCAGAATCTGATGTAGACTCTGAACTTGACTACCTCATCGCGCAGGCAGAGCGAGACGGCGATGAAGATGAGTTTTTCCCGGAGAACGAGCAGTGTACGACCTCGCCGAGAAAAGGCGCGGGTGCGAAAAAGAAAGCGAGTGCAACATCAAGACAACCTCAACTCGAGTCCGATATCTCGGGAAAGAGAATATCGAAAACCTCTTCAAGGCACAAGGGCAAGAAGGCCGCCCTAGGAACCGAGGGAGACGAAGTCGCCATGAGGACAATCAATCCCAATGCCCACAGTCACATGAACTTCCGTAGTCTGAAGATCAAGAACAAGAACTCAAAGGCAAAAGGACGTGGGCGGTATGGGAGGGGGAGGAGATGAGGAACTACAGGAGCGTTGGGGCGCGCGAAAGGGTGCCTGCCATGTCTACCTATGAAGCGGCATGTTTCCTCTACGATTTGGTACAGTGGATGCACGATTGTGAATGCATTACCTAGTACATATCTACCGCTTTTCTCACTCGCTCCAGGAGTGTCGAAGGCTCGAAGACAAACTGACGTGGTGATGACTTCGGTTTGCTTGTACAGGCGTCCAGATAGTCCAGATAGTCCAGATAGGCAAGGTCTTTCTGTCACGATCTGTAGGATAGGCTAGTTGGAATCTAGCTGTGCCTGAAAGAAAAGGGTGGCCTGCGTGGTCAATCCTCGGTCGAGTTCTGCCAGCCGTGTGGATTTACATCTAGCCATCTTGTCCTAGTCTGACCAACTCATGCAGAAAGTCCTCGCCATTGACCAGTTCGGTGCTCCCGTAGACGACCCTCCTGGTGCGTGGAGCGGAACCGACTCCTCCGCCGCTTGCGCCTTGCCCACTCGTTCTCTTTACCCACTCTTGCAGATTGCCATATTCGTCCATGCTTCCTCCCCCGACTGTGAAGACAATCGCTTCTGTATACCCCTGCCGTCGTTGTCCGAAGGTCGGATTGACACCCGCAGCGGGCTGGCCGCTTCGTAAAGGTGGATTTGATGCCCCTGTCGTGCCTCGGGCGTGGGCACTGCGGGGATCGAAGTAGAGATAATTCTCCGTCTTTGCGATCGCCGAGGACGAGGCCGCAGGAGGGTCCATGATGGATTCCACTATCTTCGTTACTGTTAAATCTCGGTCCGCAGGAAGAAAGTTCTTGACCCCCGAGAACAAGGCGTCGAGATTAACGTTGCCGAAAGTCGAGGAGGAAATTCTGTCGGTGAAGTTCTTGGAAAGCGATGATAAGCCTCCGAACAACGGGCCCTGAGTAGGCTGCGAAGTTGTGACAGTCGAAGTCATCATCGTGCCTCGCGTTTCGAGTCTGACATTCGAGATGTGTTTGATGGCGGCAACCGCATCACCCACCCCGGCAGTCCTAAGGGCGGTTTCGAACTCTGATAGTTCAGCCTTCGACGGCTCTTTGTCGACGCTCAAATACCAGATGATGAATATCCGCAGCTTATCCAAGGGATTGTCTCCTTTGTCGTCAGACTTGATTAGTGCAAGTATCTGGTCAGAAGTCTGTTTGGTAATGTTCTCCTCAAGCTGGAAGAAATTGTCCAGCTGACGATCCTTGATGCCTTTCAACAGCGCTGTAGCTATGTTCATGTGCATGTCCAGCGTTGCTTTTCGCTCTCGTAGTTCGGGCAGTAGGGTGATAGCTGCCTTCAACTGCGCTGCTGACGCGGAGCTGTCATTGAGATCCTCGATACTATTAACCCCAGTCTTTCTGGTTACCTCTTCCGCATCCGCTTTGTACTTTGTGAGTTCTTTATCGATGTCCTCTGCCACCTGGGGAAAGGGTGCACTGGCGTTACGCGTCCAGAAGAAATCACCAGCATTGAGGTCATAGGCTCGAGATTTGGCGTTTGGGGTTTCGTCGTCCGTGACATCCACGGTGATGCGATTCAGATGCATCTTTAATACATCATGGACCAGTGACTGGTATGTCCATGAGTGAGAAAGCATCGGGACCAGGTCGACATTCCGGTCCAGGACTATGAGCACAGGCCGGGAAGGTGTGGAGTAGACGCTGGCTGCGGAACCCTTGGATGAGAACAGATTATCTTTGGAGTTGAGAACGTGGTCTCTCAGTTTCCGATCCAGTTTCGTGGCAATCATCTTGGCCAGCTCCGTTTGTGGGCACCGTATAATAGGAACTGAACCCATAGTCACGCTCACACTGAACAGTCCGCTGACGATCCTGTCAATGGCAGCATCCTGAACTTCGGCTTCAGCTTTGGCGCTATTAAATATCCAATAAGACTCTTTTCCCATGCCCAGGCTAAACAAATCTGGCTCAGCGACAATGAAATTCAGGTATTGGTCATACACTTGAGCGATGGAATCCGCTCTGTTCGTGGCAGCAATCTGAGCGGCAAAGTCTTCGAGGAGAGGGCGAGGAATAGAAGAAATGAAGTTGACATAGGCCGGCGTGTACAGCCCTCGAGAGAGATCAGAGCATATGAGTTGGATATTGGTGGCAGTGGGTTCGACGAGATAGAGGGCAGGGACATCGGGGATTGGGTAGCGCGTGGAGTTTATGTTTCTGCAGCAGAGTCACTTATTGATCGATTTCCACAATAGTAGATCGCAATCCAGCAGAGACTGACAAATGTATCGTGACCCCCTTACTCCTTAGATCGTTGACCCTCAGTACACTGCTAATGATGTCTCTTCCAAGATTGTCAAAGACGAGGACCTTCCATGTAGCGTCTCCATTTTCGGTCGGCAGGTCGCCGTTTTGAGCACCATTCGATGACTCCACGTTCGACGGATCGTCACGATTGAGGTTGAGTATCCGGTCGATCGCAGCTTGAGATGGTCAGACTTGATTCATCGGAGACACACCGCAAGCGGGTGTAGAGGGCAGCTCACCTATCTGACGATCTCGCAAGGTCTGAAGGCGGCCGGCCATAGTGAAGTGGAGGGTATCCGGCTGGTAATCGACTCAACAGGCCAGACAGACGTAGGTGCTGGCAAGGTTTCATCTTGACCTCACAGCATCATATTCTGAGGGCATGTTGGCAGTGTGCAAATTGCATAGTCTGGGGTCGAGGGCGCAGTGGTTCCAGAAATGTGAGCAGGTCGAAGCATATAGCGCAGTCTGGCAAATCTGTTGTTTCTCACGGGCGCTAGTCACCTGCGATTCCTCATTCGGCTAGACTGCCTCGCCTGGAAGAACTTCAAAGTCAACGTCGGTTTAGCCCCGTTTCTTTCTTCCATCACAAACAATCCTCCCTGACATCGCCCTCTTTCCTCTTCGACATCTCACTCTGTAATTGCTGTCCTCGGCACTATCTGACGGCGGTCTGTAATAAGTGACATCTTGAATGGTCTTCCATCTGGCATCACGCATGGCTGGAGTCGGGGTGTTGAGGTTGGCGTGACTGTTGCGCGTTGGCTCGTCATCTGAATATTCTGCTCGCCTGAACAAGGCATCGGCGGCTCTTATACAAGTCCTCAGTGACGGTGGATGGTGTGCTATTAGTGCCTTTGCCAGTCTGGTCAATACTGCTAGTGGGATTGTCTACGTTCGGTGTTGGTCTACAAGCACACGGTCCAAAGTCTGGGAGTCACCAGGGGCCGAAGAGTGTGGTGCGACGGCCTCGCCTTGACTGTGCCAGCTGGCCGGAAGGGAAAAAAAAGAATTTCAACAGCAGCAGTGACCGGACTCTCTTCACTGATCAGCACCTTAACCTAACCTACATCTCGGACGGCATAAAATCCAAAGCCTCCCTCGCGTTCCAATCCGGCTGCCTTGGGCGGCTGTTGATGCCGCAGAGCGCGTGTTGCGGCCTCTGAGTGGCGATCCTGGGCATAAGCCAAAAAGTCTTCCGCCCACTTCAAATTCCGACTCGGCCTGCAGCAACTGAACCGAACTGCGCCACGTGATCTCCCACTGCCACGTGACCACACTGGTCCACGTGACCGTCTGACCTCCGACCTCCGCCTACAGAGTCCAAACTCCATCCCTGCACTCAGGCCCTTTCCTCTGCCATGGATTCGTCCGGCAACGCTTCCATGAATGGTTCGCAATCTGCCAACAACCCGTCCTATTCTTTTCTTGACGGCATCCAATCCTTCGCAGCCTCTGATCCCCTGCAGAATGGCGGCGAAGACTACAGCCAGTACTTCGACCCTGCTCTTTTCGAGAGCACGACCATCGGACATGGGTTTTCCCAACAGCCACAACAACCCATGCCACCGAACTTCAACTCGAATGTTGCCAAACAGTCGAATAGCTCCGGCCTGCCTCAATATAACTCACCTCAGCCAAACTACGGCCTCAACCAATATCCTCCAGCCCTCTACGACTCCCGCCAGATTCCCCAACAGAACTATGACTCCAGATTTTTTCCACGGCCTTCTGCCTCCCCTGTGGGCTTCGATGGGGGATATCCCTACCAACAACATATGCCCTTTACTGGTCAGAACTACGGTGCTCAGCATGTCAATATGCCACAGCGGCAGAGTCCGAGTCCCGCCCCGCCCTATCCGGCGAGACAGCCACAATCTTCGCCGTATATGAACGCCGGGCCGCGTCCATCACAGCTATCGCAAGTACAGGTATGGACCAACCTAGCCAAGGGTTTGAAGCCTCCGCTGACGTGGGAACAGAGTTCTGAAATGATGCACTACCCGAACTTCCAAGAGCAAACCCACCAACCGTCCAACACATACGTCGACCCTTCACTGTTGACTGCGAACCAGATTAACAGCACCAATAGTAAGTGGGCCAGACCACTGAAGGAGACTCCGCTGACTGTTCTCACATAGACACCATCCCCCAGTTCCAATCTCACCAGTCATTTATCGCTCCTTCTTACTTCAAACCCGGATCAACTGTGGATCCCCGGTCGCTCCAGCCTGTGCAACCGGCCTCATCACAAATACCGCAGACAGGTACGGCATTCGCTAGAAATGAGTGCTTTATACTGACTAATTCAGCACCTGCGATTCAAATAAAGCCTGAGAAGGTGTCGAAGCCAAGGACACCGAAAGATCCTCATGCTCCCAAGAAGCTGAAAAGTATTACCAAAAATGATGGTACTGTAGGGTCTGTATCCGAACCTGAGTCTGAGTCGGACTCCGAGTTGGTGATCGAAGATCAGGAGTCTCCTGAGATCACTCCAGCCTTGCTTACCGTCTCCAAACCCACCGATGACCGTGGCAGAGCTTTGTATGAGGCGGTTCAGGCGGTGTGGTCCCCACGCAATAAGCCAGCACCAGCCGAGAAAATCCGAACTGCGATTGCTGCCTTTGGCGATACTGTGCGAAATTTGCGAGACGCTTGGAAGGCCAAGAACGATAGTCTGAGAAAGTCCGAGATTCCTGGCTCACCAACAGCTTCACAGGCCGCACAGTTAAAGGATGCAGTATCCCGTTATCGACATGTGATGGAAAGTGTCATGGCCCGTTCATTATTGTATGGGCACCCAGCGATTGTCAAGAGGTATGTTCCTGTGCAAATTCCTCCTATTCGTGAAAAGCTCTGGCCCTGTGTCCAACGTGAACCCCTCCCCCCTCTCCCCCTGGCAATGGCAATTTGATAGATACGACAACCTCGCCACGGATTTCGCTCTCTGGAGCAAATCTGCACAAGTTATTACTTGCCACGTGCAATGAGGATATCAAGCCACGTACCAGACACACCAAGTGTCCATATTTATAGTCATACATCCATAGATAGCGTACAATTCGCTGGGTTATGTGATTTTGATCAACCTTCAGGCAGCCAGAGACAAGCGTACCTGATATCTTCAAGAAACCACCTAATAACTTTTACTGATAATCACGTTTCAGACTAGGTGATAACCCTATTACAATGTCCGCCTTGTACTCTTTCATGCTGGACAGATTCAATGCCGGAGATTATGACAGTCCTCTAGTCGGCGCAATCCTCAAGGTGAGTGCAGTTCTCCTCCCGCGATGAACCCATTTGCTAACGTGCCACAGTTTGTGGTGGAATTCAAGACTCTTGATACCGAAATGTTGGAAATGACGAAGCTATCAAAGATTCTGCAGCGTTTGACCAAGAAGGCCACTACTGATATCAAGTCCATGTCGCAAGCCATTCTAGACAATGCGGCCACTGCTTCGGCTGCGAAAGCCGCGAAAGGCACACATAGTAAACCCGAGAAGCCGGCGTCCCCTGGTGCCGCGGATGGAACACGCAAAGATGCGGTCACAGGAATGAAGCGGGCTAGGGAAGGAGACTTGGCTTCCCAGCCGGCCCCGAAGAAGATTGTCAAAGTGATTCCAGCATCATCAAAGCCTCTCGCTTTGCAAAATGCTGAACGGAGGAAAGCTCTGGATGCTGCACAGGCTTCCAAAGGAAGTGACAAGGCTGCCACTGCCGCCGCCCCTCCCAATGCGGGAGCAAAGGCAAAGGTTGCGGTGACGGCACCTCCAAAGTCTGCGGTCTTCTCGTCGCTGATGTCGGCCTCGAAGAGACCAGGGACCTCGATCGCGGCGAGAGCCGCCGCTGCAGCCGCCAACAAAGAGAAGACCCCTATGGACACAGTTCCTGCAAGTAACCCCACTCTGGCAAGAAAAGAATCGCCAACACGAAATGGCGGCCCTGTACCAGTCGCCAAAACAACCTCGTCCTTCCTGGGCCTGCTGGCGGATATGGAAAAGAAGCCTGAGAAGGAAGTGAAAAAGGAAACGGAAAACCCGAATGAAACTGAGGAGGAAAAGACAAAGCGTCTGCGCAAAGAAGCACGCCGAAAACTGCGCGTGTCGTGGAAGGCGGATGGAGAACTAGTCGAAACGCGCCTCTTCACCCATGATCCGGAGGAGGAAGTTGGTCAAGGTGACAGTCTAAGGCGGGATGCTGGCGATACTGGGCGCGAAGGTGAAGCGCTCAAGATGCACAAAGACATGGACGACTTGGAAGAAGACGAAGACGAAGATTCTTTCGATGACTTCGAGCCGTATACCCCGCCCCCAGAGGTTGACTTCAGTGTCCTCAAAGATGAAGCTGATTCACTTACTATCAATTCAATCAAGAATGGCGGGGGGATGAAACCCGAAAGTCCCAGCAGTGAAGCACAGAATAAGCATGAGCAGGACACCGTCATGACGATATATACTTCCAAAGCCGACCGACCTCCCACACCAAAGGAGCCTGACGACTCGATGGATGATTTTGAGCCAGCCGAACCCGAGACGCCATTTGGCGAGCCGACCGAAGTGACTCGTCAGCGCGAGGAAGAGTACAGGGCCCGCCTCGCTCGGAATCAGCCAAGTCTGAATCTGGTGCCTTCGAGAACAGATTTGGCTGCCCAGATCCAAGCCATATCCATGGGACAGGCGCCTCCACAACAGTCTGGCATAATCTCGACGGAGCTCCAGCGCGCTCTGGGTATGCTGGGTCAACCAGCTCAGGGGACACCTCCTCCACAGGCTGGGCCCACTCCGAATCTCAATCTGCAGGCGCTCCTGCAGACAGTACAACAGGTCACCCAGAATCTGCAGGGCCAAAACCAGCAGCCTCAGTATTCAACTCCCGCTCAAACGCCTGCGCCGACTACCAATCTCAGCGCACTCTTGGCTTCGATGCAGCAGACTTCGCAGGGACAGACTCCTGCACTTCCTCTCGGCCTCGGCGGTAGCGTCAACCCTTACCCTGGTTCCACGGACGAGTCTTCGCGCAAACACGGCCGCGCCGACTCGAACGACTACGACAACGACGGCAGCCGAAAGGGAGGAAACAAAAAGAAAAAGGCCGGCTGGGGTGGCGACCAAGCTAAACCATACAACTACAAGACCCAACCATGCTCGTTCTGGGAGCAGGGGAAATGCATCAAAGGCGACTCGTGCACCTACCGTCATGGCGATGAGGAAATGTGAATGCCCAAGCGTTTTCTCACTTAGGGCCTCTTGATACCTTTACTTGTACATTACAACTTACACCGGCGCCGTGGAGCGATTGATAAGGTTAAAAGGCTGGTACCTGATCCTATGTTGTTTCACAGCACAGCACAGTTAGGCGTGGAGGGAAGCGCAAGCGAACACCCAGATGGTTGTACGATCAGGACATCAGATGTCCCCTTGATCAGACAGGATGGCTAGGCGTTGTCGTCTGTTTTCATGGAATGGGCTGGAGTTTGTTCCAAACCATTCGGTACTTCGAATGGGATACTGGTCTGGGCACAAGCAGTGCCGCGGGCCAAAGCCATAGATGCGGATGGAAGGCAAGGTGCCTAATCTTATCTCCCGTGCTCTCAACTTGACCTTCGTCTTCGTGCCTTTGCAATATGATTTGCTCTTTCTTGTGACGCCGGAGGTCGGCGGCGTCCATCCATGTACCTTGAGTGCTAGCCAGCTTGTGAATAGTATCAACTATTAGCATCCCAAGGACTGGACGGCTATAGACAGTCTGAACCAGGAGTGGAAGAATTACGGAGTACAAGTATCTATCTAGTTAGGTAATGATGTTTACAAGAGTCACAGCCTCGTCAAGGGGCCCGAACATGTCACGTGACGTGCTGGCCCGGCCCCCTGGCCTGTCGGACGTGGTTCGTGTTTTGCTCAATAGTTTATCTATCCGTACACTTACACGCACACACTTATTTGCGCATATCTTTATTACAAGCACTGTTCCATTGGCATTAATCATATGCGCCCCCGGCGGTAGGAGGCCGACGCCGCTGTCGACTTCGACACGCCGGTTCCAGGGCCCCTATTGCACTTGAAGCCATGGCCAACCACTCTTATAGCCATCTGATCATCGTGTGCTGCCACGCAATCTACCTGGGCCCCGACAGCGCCGATGAGGCCAACTGGCTGATCGAGCCCTTCCAGACCGGCGAGACGGCGACGTACGTGGCGCACATTGAAGCCGGGGTGCGTGAGCTGGCGGCCGATCCTCGTGCGGTGTTGGTGTTCAGCGGCGCAGCGACCAAACCGGGGCGGACGCGCAAATCTGAGGGCGAGAGTTATCTGGTGAGTCGAGTACCTACGGATGACAGATCCTAGGTCCTGCATCGATCATATCTTGGTGTTGTTCTCGGTGCGCTAGCAGCGGGCTGGTTTGTTTGTGTGGCCAGACGGCACGGATGGTCGTGCTTGGGAGACCGAGTCGATGCGCGCAACGGCCTCGATATACGCCTCGTCAGCACATGTAGGGAGGGAACAACTATGGTCCTGAAGGGTTCAGGCCCGTCTATCTGACTGCAAAGGAATAAATGCTTTCATCACTAGCTTGGCCGACGTGGTACTGTGTCGCAATTGGATCTTCTAATCCCTTACAAGTCGCCGTCGTTTGTTTGGCTGACGCGTGCACCTCGCCCACCAGGATGTCGCAGTGGAGTGTGGTCTTTTCGGCCTGGAGACCTCGCCGCCAATGCTCCAGCCTCGTCTGTTCGTCGACCGCTTCGCGACAGACTCGTACCAGAATATCCTGTGCTCGATCATCCAGTTTCCCCTTTTTGTGCGCCAGCTTCTCGAAAAGAGAGTGCAACCTTCCAGTCTCGTGTCCAGTCCGTCGTCCACCTCAGGGTCAACTCTAATCTCATCAAATTTGAATACGACGACCACGACGACCGCCGCGAACACAGTCACACCCCTGTTTCCCACCAAATTAACCATCGTGTCACATGAATTCAAGCGGTCTCGGTTCCTCGACCTGCATCTCCCAGCCATGCATTGGGCGGGAGAAACGAGGTTCATCGGCATCAATCCGCCGTTCGACCGCGTCAAAATGGCCGAGATCGAAACGGGCGATCGGCTCAGGGGCTACGGTGCCTGGGAAAAGGACCTTTATGGAGCTGGAGAGTTATTGGCAGCGAAGAGGAAGGTGAGGGGTTGGGATGAAGAACAGTTCCGGCGTGAAGTGCTTGACCACTTGCCTTCTGTGGAGTGCAAGATGCAAATCGAAAATCTGCTGTCCTGGAACGGAGGCGCGTGTGGCACGATTCGATATCCGGACCAGATGCTGTGGTGCCCGAACCCTGGCTCTTAAGGTGGCTTCTGCTTCTATTCCAGACAGATGGATGTCTTGTTGTGGTACTGGTCTGCGCCCGTTCCGCAGTTCAGACTCGGAGGGCGAGGCTGAGGTACAGTATCAGGCTACGCGTGCTAGTACGGATACGATTGGTTATATGTACATGTAGATAGGTACATGTAGGTACGGGAGCTTGGAGGTGCAGGGCGGCGTGATACTTTGCCCAAAGCAAGGTGAGACGCGAGCAGTTGGTCTGAAGAACTTGAATTGCAGATGATGGCTATCTTCTGAGAGGCTTTCTTGCTCGGCAGGGCTGCACAAAGTAGCGGATAGACTTTCCCTGCGCATCCATACAGCATACTACTGGCCGTTTGTTTGTTTGTTCGTGTCACAGCAGGTACCACTAGGAGCCCATAGTCAAAAAGTCGTTCGTTCTCATTGATTGATTTTTGCGCTGATGCCTCTTCAAATTCAAGGCATTCTAATGCTTTTGGCATTGGAAATGCTGGTAGGAACCATCCTTTCTTGCGAACGACCAGCTCATTCAATGCCCATTCCATGCAACACTGAGTTATGAACCACTTGCTGTAACGACCATTCATTCCATTTATGCCACCAACTCGACAACACCGCCAGCCTCCTTGATCTTTCGCTCAGCCTCTTTGCTGAACCATCTCGCTCTTACAACAAGCGGGATCTCTGGGATTCGGCCCTTTCCGAGTACTTTGGAGTATCCAAGAGGTAGGAGGTCGAGGACGGGTGCTGTGTCGGTCTTCTTGCCGGAAACGTAGGCTTCGCGGGTCTCTTCTGGAACAAGCGACCAGAGCTGCAACTTGACGTTAGTAATCTGGCTCGGTTCGCCTGTCTCTCAGAGGCATGTGAGATTCTCACCTTGTCAAGGTTGATGGTTGGCTTCCAGTACTGGTTTCGGAGAAGGTGGAAGTGTCGCATACCGACCTTTCCGAAGTAACTGATCGGGATGTTAGCATCTCTGTGAGGGAGGAGGGGCCGGCTGCCGGAATCCTCCAATTCGGATCAAACATACCCAGGATGGTATTTATCCATGTTCGTTCTGTGGTGATGCTGACCACCGGCGAGACCGCGACCACCTGGATGCTTGCGGTGCTTTCCTACACGACCATGACCGGCGGAGACGTGGCCGCGGCTGAAGATTTAAATGTTAGCCCAATGCCTCTTATTTTCAACGACTGCCCAAAAGAACTAGATGTGAACGGCTCGCGGTCGAAGTCTGCCCAAGAGAGACGGGATATCATCGCGGAGGGGACTCGTTTGCCCAGTCGCAGGCTGAATTGTGCGAGAGCTTTGGCTTGTCGCTGAAAAGTTTCGTGGGCGTCTTTCGAGGTTGCGCAGCCGTTTCGGTGTGGTATGGACATCGCGAGGGAGATATAGGTGGAGGATACTCACTGCTTTCTGGTCTTGGTCAGTCTCGTAGGCATTTTGGCGGCGTTGAGACTGAGGTTTGTTGTCGTGATAGAGGTCTACGATCCGCAGTCCGTCGACAGTCAAAGAGTTGAAAGTGCAGGTTGTGCGCCAAGATCTAGATTGGGATTAGACCGAAGAAATCTTGGCAAAAACTCTCGGGTCGTAGTAGTACGGAGTACGGATACTCCGTAGTACATGTATTATCTGCTGCGGCGGGTGGCTAGAACGCGAGGCGCAAAACACCTGCGTACTTCGAAATAGGTTTCTACCGTCATTACCACTTGATTGTCACTTCATAGGTAGGTGTGGTCGGTTCATTCGCCATCATGGATATATCTATGGTGTTTATGTTATGATTTTGTGTGAAAGAAGTTTACCAGACCTCGCTCGATATCATCCCAGCACTGCACACCTCTGCCAATGTTGCCTTGTATCCAGCCCGGCAGCTTTTGTCTAATTCTCTCTGTCGCAAACCGTCTGTCGACCATCAGAATTGCAGCATAATCGTTCCTATGACGAATAACTCTCCCGATGCTCTGGTTGACAGAGCGCATACAAGCATTCTCGTAGTAATCTCGGCTTGCCTTCTTTGCCTCAGCTAGCCATTGTCCCTGGGGCAATATGGCTTCTCGTTTACATTGCTGATATCGCAGTCCTTCAACATGTTTCATCTTCGCCTTCCACTCTGCGCCATTTGCGTTTGGGAAAGGAAGCCCGACTGCGATTACGGCGCGACCGAGCTTGTCTGAGAAATTGATCCCCTCGGAAAGCTTCCCGCCGACGACTGACAGCAAAAGTGCCCCCTTCCCCGAGTCAATAGCGCTCGCATAATCTCTGAGAAGCTCGTCGACAGAGACACCTTTTGACTCTTGGAAAGTCACCTTATTCTCGTTTAGTGACTTCATCAGAGGCCGAGCAGGTGGAAGCCTTTGCCAGACGGCCACGACCTGAGCAAGGTACTCATAGCTGGGGAAAAATACCACAACGCCGTCTGGGACAACTTTGCATGTCCGACATAATAGATTTCCTAGCTCTAGGACCGTCCTCTCTGAGCCACGGTTCTCGAACGTGAAATCAAATTCGGTGTTTGAAGGCCCGTTCACGACGGGCTGAGCAAACAGATGGGAGGCCGGTATGACGTGACCAAAGCTGAAAGTTTCGAGCCTGTTCTTCTCGAGGTATGGGAAAAGGTAGTTCGAATAATCCGACATTGGGGACATGGTGCCTCCAGCCAGGATAACAGCTCTGGCCTCCTCCACAATCGCTCGAAAATGTTCCCTCGGATCAAGCAACGTGTAACGGACGAGAATGTCGCTATTCTGGCGATCAACGAAGAATCTGCCCTCATCGTCAGGGTTCATCAGGACCGACAAAAAATTTTGAAAGGGCATCAACACGCCTCTGCCCTGATTTGAATCCTCGGCGCCCTTTTGGACATCGGTATATGATTCGACCTTGTGGCAGAGTTTACTCTCATGCAGATACCGCAGCAGCTTGTGTGGGCGGATTTGATCGACTCCTTTGCCCGACATAAGCTGGGTAGCGGTGACAATCACTTCGCCCGTGCGTGACTTCTCTGCCACACCTCGAAGGCAATCTGTAAGCGAGATCAAAAGCCGGATGACCTGGGTGACGTACACTCGATTCTTGCCTTTCAAGCGGTTCTTGAATCGACTTGCGTACGCAGTAACCTGTTGTACAGCTTGGTCGAGTTGACTCAGCCGCAGGGCTATAGAAAACGTGTCTGCAATAGCGTCCGTCAAATTGTGAGCCTCGTCAATAATGACCACATCGTCCTTGACTGAGACCCCCAACGCCTCACGAGCTGATTTCTGCAAGAGGAGAGGATAGGGCAGGGTGAGGACTTCAGCTGAAGCAATGGCAGCGCGGGAGGCATAGTATGGACAAAGGTCCATCCTCTTACCGACGTGACTCAGGTCTTCTATGTCCCTAATCTGCGCAATGGCCTTGTTTCGGAAGGACTCTACTCTGTCCCTATCGTCCTTTGACGGGAGGTACGGGCATTTCTTCTCTTTTGCGGTACCAGGCTTCTGAAGCTCAAGGCACCGCTCGTTGATCGCCGCAGTGGATGACAGGCGTGCAACGTTGGGATTGATACACAAATTCTTCCTCGAGCCTAGGGCGAGGTGTTTGATACCCTCCTCAAGATCTTGACCTGGTGCGAGCTCAACCCCTGAAGGAATCGATGAAGGGGGCTTGACGCGTCGCAGCTCATTCACAAACTGGGTCAGCTGGGAATGAGTGCGGGAACAATAGATGATCTTCAGCCGTTGAATTTCCGGCTGTTCCACATCCTCCTTCGTTGGCTTTTGTAGTCTGTCAAGCAATGCCTGGGTAGAATTTGAGAAACCGGTGCTGGCTCTTTGAGCAGTGGCCATTTCTTCTTCGTCGCTGTTATAGTCTTCCACCATGAATTCGTCATCATTCCAAGGCTGTTCTTGCGCGTTTCCTTCGGTAGTACGTGCCTTTTTCATGGATCTGCTGTCGAATCTTTTCTGTTTCAGACGGGCCTCTTCCTCCCGTAGTGCAGCAAGTTTTTGCTCCAGCTCTTCTCGTGCGAGGAGCAATTCACGACGTCGGACGGCCGATTCTGCCCGCGCCAACCAATCGTCTTGGTCATCGTCGCCCTCTGCCGGCAGAGTGCTGTCGAGAGCGCGACGTTCATTATCTCGGAGCCATGTCAAGGCGCCACATATCAGGCTCAAAGACTTGCCTGTGCCTGTTGGAGACTCAAAGATGCCCACCTTTTTGTCCTCTATGCAGCGGTACAAATGTGCCATGAACTCCAATTGAATATCATAAGGTTGATAGGGATGGCAGAAGCTCGCCTGACTAGGCTCCATGGTGATCTCAGGGGTTGTGATCACAGAGTCCTAGTATCCGTACATGGTTGCTGTTGCGCTTGATCCTCATAGTAGTCACTTCTCCTGAGCGGGCCGTCAATTAGGCAGATGGAGATCTTTGGCTGGCGAAATTTGAACGCGTGTTTGACACCACCAACACGCAACAGCTTGGCTTACGGAGTACACGTCAGAGGATCAAATTGCTCGTGGCTGCCGTTTTCGCTGGCGACGGGGAAAAGTGACACGCACAAGGCGAAACGGTCCATGATGAGCTCAACAGAGCCTGTAATTACTCCGTACTTCAAGTAGCACCGAGTATATGTTACGGTGACCGGCGGTATGAATCCATGAACGAGAAGATGATTGCCAAAAATAATCAAGTGGATGGGTGTGGCTGTGAATGAGCCTAAGGGCTCGGTGCGCACACGAGGCGCAGGCTGCCTTGGTGCCCAACTAGAGTGATGGTCAGTTTGATGCGGAGAAGCACAGAAGGTGGGCTTAGGGGCCCTAAGGCTGCTTACCTACATAGGCATCGGAGGCCCTAGGAGTTCCGGAGCCGAGGTCTTAGGGGCTTAGGCCTGAGGAGCCCTTAGGCCGCTGTCAGGTCTGCTAGCCAGCATCGACGGGCTTAGGGGCTTAGGGCCCAAGGCTAAGTAGACTTATTACCGGTTATCCTGCACGTCCCTCTATCATGTTGTTTGCCGCACGCGTAGCATCACGGGCGCAGCGAGGCTGTGTCCGCTGTTGTCTCCCCTCGTAATCACCAATAGCGCAATCCACAACGCTGGATACTGTGCGATATTGCCTGGTTCTACCTGCTCTCCGGTATCAGGCAGCTCTCATATTGCCTGTCTCCGCCCTGAAAGACGTTGAAGACATGTCTACAACAAGCATCGAACTCAGAAATCGTCCTACCTTGTTCGTTCGTACTTGCGACGCCCCCGCCTTTGAGCCAGGTCCCTCCCTGCTTCGACCCGAGAGCTGAAGACGACACACTCTCCGAAGGCATATTATCCCAGAGGGCTGTTCTTCTGGGTAGCCGGCAGTAGCTTTCCTCTCCAAGTCTTGTATCCGACGTCCGTACATCCCTTGCATTGGCTTAGGTTTCAGCGTTCAAGTGCGGTCAGAGCGACCAGGTGAATTGGAGCTGAACTCCCCCTGATCGACAGGGTGGTATCTTGATCTGCTGTTGATCGCAGCTATGAATTACAATACAGGAGCGACCTTCGTCCCGGGAGGTGATGACTCTTACTACATGCCTGAACTGATCCAACCGACACCCAACCGGTACGTCGCTAGATCGAGGTCTCCATGCCATCCTACTGACAGATACAGGGTACATGAGCTTCCGAGCAACATTGAACAGAATGTTGCTCAAATGGAACAGGCTGCATCTAATCCTCCTTCGGCAAGTTCACCATCAGTTTACTCTCCACAATCCGCAGACTACCTGCCGTCGAACACATCTTGGATGTCAGCGCCACCGCTCAGCAACAACAACCAGCAAGCGTTCGGACAGCAGATCCCTTTGACTGCCCCAAGCCAAGCGTACCAGCAAGATAACTATGCGCCGAGAAACAGTCCCGGTCCTCAAACAGACCAACCGAACTTCTCTCCGTTTCCTATCCTCCGAAACCCTCCACCCAACATTCCACCCACGGACGAGCAGAAGGAAGCCACATTGGAGGCAGCGAGGGCAGCTGTATTGAGTTGCAGTGACCCAGAGACCCAGTTGACATGGGCGCAGGATGCGCTGTCCTTTGTGGAAGTGTGTCAACAGAACGAAGAGAGAATAGCTTTGGCACAAGCCCCTCGGACGCGGACGCCTCGAATTGAGCACGCTCTGAGGGAAGATGCACTCAAGATTGTGGGCTTTCTAGCAGACCAGCATCACCCTAGGGCGGAGTTCATGCGAGGCATGTGGCTCGAGTTCGGCAAATTCGGTCACCGAATCGACAAGAGAGAAGCATTCAATTGCTATACAAGAGCATCCGAAAGGGGTTACATCCGTGCTGATTATAGAATCGGTATGCAGTTCGAATCATCCAACGACGCCCTTAAAGCTATCAAATATTACCAGAAAGGGGCCGCGAGCGGAGATTCTGCTGCTTGTTACAGGCTGGGAATGATGACTCTTCTCGGCCAGCACGGTCAAGTACAAGACTATGAACGTGGCACTAGCCTCATATATGCGTCTGCTCAAACGGCCGATGAGAACGCTCCCCAAGGTGCTTACGTCTTTGGAATGCTCCAGGCCCATCAAATGCCCCAAATCCAGATACCGGAGCGCTATCTGCCAAAAGATATTGCAGCCGCCAAAATCAACATTGAAAAGGCTGCCTACTTGGGCTTCGCCAAGGCACAAGTTAAGATGGGGGCTGCTTACGAATTGTGCGAGCTCGGCTGCTCTTTTGATCCTGCCCTCTCTTTGCACTACAACGCCCTTGCGGCGAGGCAGGGCGAGCCTGAAGCTGAGATAGCTATCAGCAAATGGTTCCTCTGTGGCCACGAGGGCCTCTTTGACAAGAACGAGGAGATGGCTTTCACTTATGCACAACGAGCCGCACTGTCAGGTTTCTCGACGGCGCAGTTTGCCCTCGGATACTATTATGAGGTTGGTATCTATGTCCCAGTCAACTTTGAACAAGCCAAAGAGTGGTATCGAAAGGCATCACAAAGTGGCAACCAGGATGCGGGTGGAAGAATCGAGGCCATTTCCCGATCCAAAACATTATCTCGGAAAGACCATGAAAAGCTTGCTCTTTCAAAGATCCGACAACAGCGAGGCTCAATGATCGGGGGAGCACAAGTACCACCGGTGCCTGCGATGCCAACCCTCACTGAAGAGCACGACTCTACGATCATCGATATGCCCGACCCATCTCGCCTTTCTCTCAACTCTCAGAGACCTCCTTCAGCACGGCCCGGAAGCACCGTGCCATACCCAACCGATAACGCCGCTATGCCGACAGCCAACCAAGGACCGGATTTTCGACCAGCCTCGGCCTTTGGCATCAACCCCAACCTTCGACCTGCTTCGGCTGCGACGGTGGGAGGCCCCAGACCTGATCCCTATGGACAACCACATATGTCGCCTCAACAGCGACCGCACTCGACGAATGAGGCTAGAGTACACGCGGCAGGCTATGGACAGGGTGCGCGAATACCTTCAGGACGGACGACCGGACCAGGAGTTCTGCAAATGCGGCCACCTCCCAAACCGGGTGCTACGTCGCCGTATCTTGACCCAAGAGCAGCTGGTCAGACTCCGACGCCTCCGGCGCTTGATATTGGCTTTTCAGCTCCACTCGAAAGACCGCGACCTCAGCAACCCGCTGGGCCGAACATGGGTAAACCTCAACCTCCTCATCCGAACAACCCTTCTCGCCCATCTTCTCGACCCAATCAACCTGCACCGCAAGGCCCTTCGCAGAATCGACCTCCGCAGGCGATCTCACGCCCTGGACCTGATCGTCCGAACATGGGATATGGTCGCCCTCCTAACGCTCCGACGCCTCCTAGTAAAACGCCAACGCCCGGGCAACAGAATGTGAACCCCGGCAATATGGCTCCGCCACGACCAGATTTCAATGGACCAATCGGCGGAGGTCAAACATCAAAGCCGACTTCTGTGCCGGCCAATTCTGTCCGACCACCAGGGAAAGGACCAAAGACATTTGATGAGATGGGTGTCCCCCCTGGCAAGGATAAAAGCGAATGCGTAAGTCGTGATCCCTTGGCTATGCCCAGGCAGAGTTTCCATTGACGTGATTTATAGGTCATCATGTAATGTGCTATTTGCCGTTGCGATTGAGCCGATTTATGATACCCTTTTGGTTGCAACTAGTTATGTTTTCTGGGACAGTCAGACGGATTTTGGAACCGGACAGTGTCGTGTGACCAGGGTCCGAGATGTGTTTGTGTGCAAAAGTCCACTTCACTTACTCGTACGGCATGGGTTAGATCTCGGGTGTTTGCAATGGCGAATACTCTCGAAAGAGTGTTGGATGCTTCGGGGAATACCCTGGACTCGTCAAAACAACTAATAGGTTTTTGCTACGAGTTCTATTGGGATAGGCCTGAGCCCGCCTTCATACCGGGACCTGGATGATGGATTATGCCTTAGATGTTATGGTAGTATTGCATTCCGTCCCAGGGGCCGACTGCTCAGTCTCTTGATCCTAGCAATAAACAAAATACATACCCTGGCACGGCACCGGCTTTATCAGTTCAGTTTACCGTACATTGACAATTTCTGGCGATTCATCTCGCCGGACTACTCATCGGGTGCATAAACAGGGCAATCCGATGGAAGAATGAATATACATGGAATATCTGGAAATGGCGTATAACTTGCATAACAGTAGATAGGTAGTAAATAGGGCAATCAATAAAGGCGATCCATGATCTCAGATAAATACTTAAATACTACCAATCATCCTCATCCTCTTCAAGAGCAGTCTTGTGTGAACGACATCCCCTCCTCCCCCTTCTCAACCACGCAAACACTCAATGCTCCACGCCCAACACTCAATACTCAATACTCAATACTCAACACTCAACTAGAGCCAGCCCATCGAGAGATACGATGGATGCATTACTTGTACTTGTTAGCGGGTATAGTACAGTATACTAGCCCAAGACCCAAGACGACGTGATGTGTGTGTTCACATCCACATAGCGACATAGATGCTTGCCGCTCACTATCAGGGACCTTTTCTCGTCGAGGTAGTTGTGGTCAAGTATGTGGGCACAGCAACAGCACCAGCACCAGCACCGGCTAGTTCTTGTTCACGTAGGACAGACGAAGCTAGGGTCAGTATAGTCCGTCATGCGAGGATAGCCGGAATAGAGCATACGAGCGCTGTCGAAGGTGGCGTTCCCTCGCGTGGCGCATGTCAGGGACGAGTATCTGAAGCAATTGTTGGCGGTGCCTTGGCCAGTGGCGCCCTCTTGAAAGGTCAGGCCGAGGCAGCTGTTGGTCTGCAGCAGGTTCTGGTATTGACACCACCCGATGCAGTCTTCCAAGGAGAAGGCGATCAGCGGCTGGATGACGGCGCCGGTGAAGCTGGTGGCACATTCGATCTCGTAGTTGACGTCCGAGCCGTAGATGTTGTAGTCGTAACATGTCGCAGGAGGCGTTCCTGGGCATGCCGACGCAGATGGGGCGGGCGCGCAGCTCAAGGGCGAGTATGAAGTTGTTGTCGTTGTTGTCGTGGTACTCGAGGTCGAGGTCGAGGTCGAGATGGTTGTCGCACGTGATATTGAGACTGATACTGATGTCGATGTCGAAACCGATGTTGATATAGTATTAGTGGATATCGTGGCCGGGACCGTAGTGGTGGCGGTGCGGGTGCTGGTGCTAGTGGTTCCTAGCATGGGATCGGTGATCGATGGGTATCCTGGGAATAGGAGACGGCCACTGTCGATGCCGGGACTATAGGTTGTGCTCGTGATGCTGGACAGCAAGATACAGTTCGGGCTGCTTCCAGTCGTCGAGCCGAGATAGTTGACCCCGACACACCCATACGGCAGAGCAATGTTGTACAGAGTACAAAACCCAAGGCATGTCTTGAGGGAGCTGGCTGTCGTGGAGTTGCCGTTCAGAATGTTGCCCTGTAGTGTTGTTGAACACTCGACTTCGTAACAGACGCCATCGCTGTTGACGTTCAAGGCTTGATGATTGTATGTGGGGCAGAGAGCGCTTGTCGTCGGGCTTGCAGAGCAGTATGGAGACGTGGATGTAGAAGTCAATGGCAGTGTCGTGCTTCTTACCGAGGTTTGCGGAGATGTGGTCGTCAGTGTGGTCGTCTGCGATGTATTTGAGCTTGAATTTGAGCTTGAGCTTGAAGTAGTTGTTGAAGTGCCTCCCGTGCGACTAACAGTTGTTGACTGCAGACTCGAAGGAGTGGTGGCAGACAGAGTTGTTGGTAAAGCTGGGGTGGAGGCGGCTGTTGTGGAGGCTGAGGAGCTCGGAGCGGACCTGGAAGACAAACTAGAACTTGTCGCAGCGTTAGATGGTTGCTGGTTTGTTGTAGACGCTGTAGCTACTGAGGAACCGGCAGCACCGGATCTAGACCCTGGACTTGAGGTCGTAGTACTTGATGAGCCTCCACCAATAGGGGAAATGGACGTTTGCTGGGTTGTCGCGGGAGCGCTAGTTGGATTGCTCCTTGCCGAGGACATAGTTGTCGTGAGCGAAGGGCTGGACGTATCCGGCAGCGGTGATCCACCACTTGTCCCAGAGGTTGTCAGCTCAGGCGTTGTCACAGACACGCTTGAAGTCGTGGTGGAGGACTCCAAGATGACCGTGTCTGAGGCGCTGCTTCCGTTGTCCGCAAACACAATCTGAGGAGCATATGGCTGATTAACAATGATGGCAGCTTGGGCGAATGCATTCGCGCCCCTGTTCACGACACCGATGTCGAACTTGAGCTGACATGGGTTCGAAGCCGCAAGCTAGATCACCATTAGTTGAGCGCGAGCACAGGAGGTGGCAGTACTTACAATGTCAAACTCGACCGCAATACACGGCCCTTCAGATCCGGGCACGTACGAATTGCAGGCGTCGATACAGTCGGCGATATCAGATGCCGGTACCGCGTCCAAGTCAAAGCCTGGAAGATCCGTATCGCAAAGGATCAGATAATTGCCATTGACTGTGCCGTCAAATGGTGAACGATCAAAGCAGTTCGGTACGCCGGTTGTGGTAGGAGACGGATATGCCGTCGTGCCTGGAGATGTTGACGATGAAGACTGTAAGGTTGGAATCGAATACGGTGAGGCTGTCGTAGGGGAAGGTGGAGTTGGCGGATTTGCAGTTTGTGAGCTTGCCGCGAGTGATGTGGCTGGAGAGGTCTGCAGGCTCGTAGTGGAAGTCGAGAGTAACCCCGTGGACAGACTGGCTGTTGTGCTGGTCATTTGACTAGATGAGGCCAGCGTCGTGCTCAGACTTGACGGTTGTGACTCGCTGATAGAGGATGTCGAAGAGGAACCAACTTCTGCAACGGGAATGACATTGACCAGCGTCACTGTGCAGCCTGGCGGCGCTTGGCCATCGAACACGACCTGAACCACGGAGCCAAAGACACAGAAAAGAGCCTGGCGCCCGGCGAACACGTCGTTCGTCCAGACCAAGGTGTTGTTCGTCGCAACGGAGAATACAGTCGCAAGTTCTGCCAGAACAGGGGAGACCTCGAATTTCTGCGAAGGGAGCTCTCCACTCGTTGATACATAGTCTCTCCCGCTCATCAGCTGACCGGATGGTGTGATCGTGAAGGCGACTGCTAGTCGAGGATCCGTGGATATGGTTCCATCAGCCGCTATGTACTCAGGCTCTCCGCCCAGGCTGTCGGCGAGGAAGAGATAGTATGGTATCGCAGGGCCAGAGCTACCGTGGGTCAGTCTTCGTAGCCAGCGAGGATATCCAGTGGAACTTGCCTAGGACTAGAAGCTAAGCTGCTAGTCGTGCTTGTGCTTGTGCTCGTATAGGTGGCAGGACAGTAGCTGATGGCAATGGAGATCGTGGTGCCATAGCCAAGGACTGGCAGCACTAGCTGCTGCGTGAGTGCGACAACGGTGAACTGCCTCCACTTCATCTCGACTGTCTGAGTTCCTATCTGTCTGCTCGACCTTGTACAGCTGGGTTTCCATGGTCTGGTAAAGATCTGAAGGCATTGTCAAATACATTAGGGGAGTGGTGGTCCGTGTCAGACGCCTCACGCGCCTGGAATGAAAACAGTAAGGGACAAGGAATGTCGAGACAGGGCAATTAGCAGACTCAAGGAAGAGAACGACTCCACCACCTTTCACCTTTCGCACAGCCCTTACCGCGAGCCAACGAGCCCAAGGAGGACAGGAGGACACCCTCTCCGAAGAACAGGGGATGATGCTTGATGCTTTGGTATTCACCAAATAGCGGGCTGGGACCGACGACCTCTCTGGAAAGGGCTTTGTGCCGGCTGAAGTACCCGGGCGCGTCTTGTACATCAGAACAATATTGCCGGTATAGCAGGACATTCATCGAACATTATGTGCCAGGTGAAGATGAGAACACACGAGCGACACTGATGACACTGGCAGCGGAGGATTCATTCATCCAGTTCCCGAGCCTTGGCATTGTGCTTGGCACGGACTCGCTCCGCCGGGTCACATGTTCTTGTCCGGGTCACATGTTCTTATTTTCCTCAGGGAGCCTTCAAGGGCTGCCCGACACAACTCCAACGAGCTTTTGCTACCATCTCACGGTGAGGACGGATGAGGGAAATTGTTCTTCTTCCATATTTACTATACATCTGTGTTCCGCTGAGGTGTTCAGTGCTCACCGCTTCTCGGGTTCCAAGGCCATGGGTACAGATCTGGGGGCTGGATCACCATCTGCCTGTCTTCTAACAGTCAGCCCTCCCCCATGTCCTTGGAAACCCGACGACCTCTCTGACATTGCCCGCCCCGGTGAGATAAGCCAGCAACCTATCAAACCCCAGCCCGTAGCCTCCGTGGGGGCTACTTCCAAAGCGTCGGAGGTCGGCGTACCACTTCAGGTTGCCCAAGCTTTCGCCCGGTTGCAGGAATGGATAGGCATCACCATTGGGTGTCTCCGCTATTTTGAGAAGTCCTTTCTCGCGCATGTTCTTGATCAAGTTCTCCAGACGGTGTTCTCTGAGACTTCCGCCGACAACCTCGCAGTATCCAAAGGGCAAGAGGAGGTCGAAGCAGGCAACCGTTTGCCGACCGTCAATTGATGAGCTGGGCTCAACATGTTCAGGTTGGTCATTGGACTTCGAGGGAGACGAGGGCAACATGTAAAATGGCTTGATGGCTCTGGGGTAGTGGGTGACAAAGACTGGGTTGCCTTTTGCTATGTTCTCAACAATCCAGCGTTCGTGTTCGAGTTGTAAACCGTGATCCCAATGCGGTGGGGTGGCGAAGAGTTTTCCGCCGTTTGAGTCGTGTGCCTCCCTAAGAGCCTTGGTTGCAGACGAATAGTCCACAGTGTGCCAAGGCCCTGCGAGTCTGTTCCATCGATCTTCTAGGTCAATGGGCTCGGCGTCTTGAGCCTGATGCCTTTGGTCTGTGTAATATTTCACGAGCTCTCTGCCCGTTTGGTGTTCTCGCACAGACTGGACAAGATGCACAACAAGAGCCCTCACTTTTGCTAATAGATCATCCAAACTGATGGCCCGGTGCTCAGCTTCCAGCATGTAGAATTCAGACAGATGGCGTGGGGTATCACTTTCCTCGGCACGGAAAGTTGGCGAAAATGCGAAAACATCTCCCAGTTCGGCAGCGTACGCTTCAAGATGTAGTTGCGAGGAAACTGTCAGATATTTCGGGTCCCGGAAATATAACCTCTCCTCATCTTTAGATGCATTCGGAGTACAATCGGGCACTCGTTCGCTGCTCTGCGGCGTTATTGTGAAGACTTCCCCAGCGCCTTCACAGTCCGAGGAGGTGATCAGTGGCGGATGCACCTGATATACGGGATTGGTGGCATTGTGAAAATATGAACCCACTGCAGCAGTCAAATGACTCCGGGTGCGAGCAACGAGGGACTGAAAAGATGTCCGCATTCGCAAATGAGGAATGGTCCGGAGAAAGTCCACGGACATGGATTGTTTCTGGATAGGGTTCTCCTGTCACCTTGATTAGAATAGAAAGGAACGACAAGTAGCTGGCATACCAAAGGATTGCTCTCCCCTATTGTCTCAATCCTGTCCACTTGTAATTCATGGGTCTGCCCTGCGCCTGCTGATGGAATCCAACTGCCGATCAATGCGACATAGGCACCGTTTGTTATGCTGAAACTCAAGATCAGAACCCTGCTTTCCTTGATGAATTCGTGCATACGTACTCCTTCGCCAAAGCCGGTTCAGGAAACACAGCCTGAACACTGGCCAATGTCGAGCCATCTGCAATGCGCGCGAATGCTACCTTTTTCTGCTTTCGCACGCTCCGCACCAAGCCAGTAATCTTTATGTGATTTGCCTCATATTGTGTAGGATCCTCCAGGAGCTTCGCGTGACGGATAGAGGGTATTGTAGAAGAAGGCACCAGTCGAATGGATCGGTCATCGTGCAACGGTCGGATGCGATACGGACTGGGTATATGGCGAGGTCGAGTAAACCGATTGGAGAGCTGAGGGAACGGGGACTGAACAAAAGACCCGGGACGCCATGGCGACGGCAAAGTGCGCCATAGCATCACGGACTGGAACCACCAAATGCAAGGTCTGTAAGCACGGGGAAAAGGATCTGGAAGGCTCTTTGAGTGAACGTGCAGCGAGATTGATCTGACACGAATGCGCGGGATCGGAGACCGCGAAATCTGTTTCTCCGGCAGTGTCAAAGTCTCAGCCTCGTCACGGCCTCTGCCACAGCCTTGCCGACGGAACAGAACACAGAGCAACGTTTCCTAACGTGTTCAAATCCCGCAATAACTGCTTCTTACAGGGATATTCAAAGGCAAGGCAGATATTCAGCGGCACTGGCATCGCATACTCAGTTTCTACTTGTGATCACACATCTAACATACTCCTTACCACCTGCGGCCGCGACTGCAGGGAAAGAGTCGACGACGAAGGTTCTGACGTCTTTCCTCGTGATCGGTCATATATGCTGTGCACGCTTTTGTTTGAGCCCGTTTCCACGCTATCACCATCATCTGTGTGTAGTGGTGTCGGTGCCTCCCGTTCAGTCCATCGCGAACTCGTGCTCGCGTGATCATTGTCATAGTCGGCGCTGGGCCACCTTGGGCGCGCGTGCACTGCACTGCTCTTTGATCTCCGGAGTCTTGCATCCTCTTCTCCTTGTTTCCGTCTCTGCCACCAATATTGTCCACTTTCATCAGACGGATCTCCATGGTCAAAATAGCCCCGGCTGGTGCTATCATCAACGTCATGGCGCAGTTTTGATCCCGATGTCTTGAAGACATTAGTCGGAGACAAGGTAGGATTGCGGGGTTTCAACCACCAAGAAGGGTGCTTGCCCTGACGTCCCTGATCTCGATCTCCTTGGTGTGTTAGGTGGCTGTCATCCTCCAATCCATCACCCCTCTGAGCCCGCGCAGCAATCAATAATATATCTTCGTTTTCTTCCTGGTAGCCGCGGAGGTTCAGTAAGAAGAGAACCAGTAGTGTTGGTGCATATCCGAGTCCGTATAGCCAGCCAATGCTCACTTCCAGACGATAGGGTGACAAAATCCATACAAAAGAGCCGATGATTCCATAGGCTATCCGTACAGCGAGAAGACTAGCGACGAGGTGAATTGTATGTGGAATCCTCAGATGATATATTCGACTGCTAAAATTTAATCGAAAAACAATGCACCCCAGGCATACGATAGCAAGAACCGAAGCAGCTTTGAATCGGGCATCGAGTGCTGTAGGTTTTGCTGACTCCAGGGTTTGACTCAGTGATCGCTGTTTCTGCACGAAGGACCAGGACCTAGGAGCGGCCAGGAAGAATACAAGCCAGTCAAATGCGTAGAAAATCAGGGGGAGATAAAACCCCACTCTCGCTCGGAAGTCGTCCGGAGCAAGGGAGAAAGCATCAGCATCGTGGAGACGGCGGTGTTGAGCGGAAGACCTATTAAATGTCAGCAGCTGTTGCCCGTAAAGAAGCTGGGTGTTTGTTTGTGTAACCGGGCGAGGTTCTCGAAACCAAGTCGCTGGGGCACTCACCAGCTTCGCACAGACTCCCAAACACACGCCAGCAAAGCAGGGACCATCAAGGTCAGGAAGAAACATTGAAGAACCATGGGGGTATTGACAACATGGTCCCTGTCAACATCGATAGCGGTAAAACAACTTAACAGACCACAGGCGGCGACGATGATTGTCCAGTACCAAGACCACCTCCTCCCAATCGGTCTCCACCTCTTCCCCCTAGGGAGGTAAGCGCGGCCATGCTTCCTGAGATTAATGGTTGAAAGTAATACCGAAACAGCAAAGAGCGATCCAAACGCCAGGCCAGTGATGCCTCGGGGCCCAATGGCATGGATAGGCTGATAACACGATGTGGCATTGATGAAAGTCCCATTTGGCGAGAGCAGAATGGGCTTGTAGGTGTCAAAGGCAAGGAAGCAGTTCGACCCATTCGAGAGGGTGCCGTTGGCGTAAGCAGTGTAGTTCCAGAAAGTCAGTGTTGTGGCATTGTAAGATACGCCATTGATCACCACAATAGGATTCGATGAGCCTGGTTCAAGATGCATATCACCCGCCAGCGGTTCTGTTCCTCTGCTCATTTGATCGGCAGATCAACGTCTCTCCTCTAGGCGGATCATTTCCTAGCACGCGCGACAGAATCAAGCGCACAGCAATGCCGCGGCCATCGAGTGGAGGAGTGCGGAGTACGGAGTACACGAAAAAGAATCCGTCCAGGTCAACACTTTATGAGATCTCATGAGGATGTTTCCTGTCCGCCTGCTTCCCCGTACGGAGTACATAGGATTACCTAATCACGTGCATGAGCAAGCCGTGATGCGGCTGAATGGGAAGAAAACAGCAGTCATGCATCCACGTGGATGGTGTTCTGAGCTCAACACCTAGAGTAAACGTGGACACACTGACGAACAGAAATCTGGCAATCACGAACCAGAGCCTTGATGACAACAGCCGGTGCCACCGGGGAAATCAGCCGCCACTACTAGTAGTAGCAGGATCATATCTCCCTCATGTCCCTCCCGTTCCATAACAACCACACAATCATGGTCTCATGCTCCTTCCGAACGCTTGTTCGCAGAGCTCCCTCCTTTTGATATCCGAATGACTGACTGCGAATACGATGGAGAAGTAACTCTACATAGAACTAGGGGAAGCAATTCCATGCCGGCAGGCCCGAACTACAATCTCCCAAACTCTTTAACGCCATGCGAACGCACTAGAAATCAATGCACACAGTCAGACACGCGCAAATACACGGTCGAGCTTGCTCAGAGCTCTTTTGTCCTCGCGAAATCCCAACTTCTCGCTAGGAATGTCTTGTGGAGGTGCCCCATTCGTTGTGCCATCGGGGCTGGTGCTGCCTTGCCGATCGGCCTCCGTTTCAATTTGTGGCCTCTCTGCCGGCGGCAGGTTTGTTGTGATGTTGTGAACCAATGCCGTGATCGTAGGTGCTTGACTGGCGCTCACGTTAGTGGCTTCGGAAGGTCGCATTTCATTTGGAGCCTGTTCGGTTCTCTGTACGTCGCCGTTAGGCTGGGACTCGCCGGCACTCAAAGACGTTGAAAGTCTCGGATCTAGTTGGAGGGGATAGCCCTGCTTTTCGGCCCCATTTTCTGCCGCAGGGCCCGACGGTGTTGCTGCGGTCGCAGAGCTGGGCTGATACGGTAGGGGTGCGCCGTGGTTGGTGTTATATGGCGGCAACGGGCCTTGGCCTGATGTTGCCGTTGGTAGGGGTGTTGGCCCTGATGATCTGGGCTCGGAGCCCCGTAAAGGTCGTTGGTCGTACGAGGATGGTGGGGCGTGATTCAGAGATAGCGGGTGAGGTGAACCGTAGGCAGCGGCGCCATACGCGAGCGGAGGTAAGCCAGGTGGGAGGGATGCATAGGTTTGCAGAGGGTAGTGGCCGGGAGGAGTATGGATCGGACTAATCGGGTATATGTAGGTGGGATGAGGCATATACCCAGGTGGTAGATACGGGTGTGGATTGGAGTGGGCTGGTCTGTGGTAACCTGGGGTACTCGGGCTCACAACGTAGCTAGGCACTCCCACCATGGGAGAACGAGTGACAGCCGGTACAGACGACTGATCATTGATCGTCGATTCTGGATAAAGGCCCTTCGCAGGTACGATCGAAGCCAGGCTGGGATCCGTGCTCGGCTGCCGCAATACTTGGGCGGTGGGATGTGACCGGGAATAGTAGCTGATGAGATGCAAGTGTTGGCCTTGGGAGGTGGTGATGCTGAACGATTGTTTCATCAGGCCGTCTGGCTTGTAGCGATACCCATCAGGGCCATCCTCGGCCTCGCCATTTTGCGACGGGTCTTCGTTCCCGCTCTCTGGAGTCTTGGTGCCTTTGGTACCGGTCGAGGGAAATGTTTGTCCTCCTCTTTTCCCTTCCATCTCTCGATAAGTTAAGAAGCTGCCCGAAACCCGACTGGCACTCCAACTCTTGCCGTCTGTCCACCTCCTCATTCCTGCCTCTCGTTCATCCCAAACAAACACAGACCCTGACCGGATGGACTGTCTCTCCTTCTCCGATAATCTTCGTTGGACGCGAGGGAGAATGCCCAACCTGCAGGCTTCGAAAAGAATGATGGCATCTGTGGGGGTGCGGACGTGACCGTTGTATGTTTCCATCACGGCGGCTTCGTGAGGGATAAATAGATGGTCCTGTTGATCAAACGTCAGTGCCGCAGTTCCGGACGAGGGACACAGCACAGCCGAGAATACCTCTTCGCCTTGAAGGCGGCGGGCTAGATGCTCTCTCTGTGCAGACAACCAGCTCGCCGCGTACCGTTGCGACTGTCTGACTCCCTGCGTACTGCGCTGGGACTGCACAGCAAAGTCGAGGATTGACTATGCAGTCTCACTTCCTGGCCTTCCCCCTCCAGGGTTGACGAATGGTTGGTTTTGCAGCAAAGGTGATCGTATTGTTGTCACAACACAAGAAGAACGACCATACTAGGAATTATTGATCGTACTATCGGACTCGTGACCCTGTCGATTTGGAGATGGTCTGGAGACCCGGAAGACAAGCGCGGAAAGCGTCGGAGGAGTTGATCTAAATGAACCCCAGACTGATCGCCGACAAGAATACTAGACGGGACGGATCTGACGACCGGTATAACAAGAGAACTCAGGATGGTCAGATGTGGCCAGTACAGGCCATGCACAAAGGCTTGTGGGAGGGCGACCAAACCAGCGCTGGACGAGATCAATTCAAATCCTGGGTCAAGCGTCGAGGTACGAATTACTAGGTACTATGGGAGAGTCGGCGGGAGGGACGATCAATAATAATAAAGGCGGAAAGGTGAAGTGCAGGGTTTCGCCCACACAGCCCACTGGCAGGCAGAGGCGCCGGAGGCTTGGAGTCCCACACCAAGCTTGGGCTTATGCTTAAACTCAAAAGTCTAAGAGTCCGCTTAAGGCACGGGCGGCTCGGCCTGGCTGGGCAATGTGGGCACTATTAGTATTGAAATGGTCGCGGACCCTTGCTAGACTGCTTGTGCTTGCTGCTTCCAGCTGCATAACCAGATATCCTTCCCGAGGACTCTCTGCAGACAACACCTTCTCCGATGACCTTATGCCCAGGAGCCAATAAGACCCTTTCCTACTACCCCGTAGATCCCAAGTTCACGCTTGTAGCCTATTCTAATGCGGCGAAGCTTGGAGGCAGTCTTAGCATTACGATATAAGTCGGGTAGTCCTGTTAGCGAACCGAGAGAGACAAGTGTCACTAGCAGCTTTCAAGGGAGGCCTAGGTGCTGGTAATTAGTACGTACTCTTACTCGAGGGTCTCCCTTGCTCTCTCCCTTACTTGGGATGTTCATCCTGGATCACGCGCGAAGGAGGAATGAGTAGGAGTAGGTACAGTTAAGTTCCCACCATCTCCGACCTCGCGTCTCACTGCCAGTTACGGAGTAATCCTCTGTACACAGTAAGCTCCACCACCACCATCATCATCATCATCATTCTCATCCTATAACTCGTTGGAGCCTTCTCGGATACAAGTCGGCGTCTGCGATGCTCTTATCGTCAAGGAACGTCCCGGCCTAAGGCTCCACCATCGACGCCCAGACGCCAGCAGGCTTGGTTTCTCTTGGTCTTGTTTGTTCCGTGTCGAGACCCCCAGTCTAACTCGTCTTGGGGCTCTGGGCGCTGCGTAAGCCTGGGCTCGGCCTCGCGCCTCGCGCCAATCCAATTTGATGCCTTGTGTCAAACTCTCTTGAATCCAGGCGGTCACCCTCGCTTGGGGCCTTGGGGTAATGGTGAGAACTGCCAGCGTACGTGGGCAGCTGACTCGGGCCGAAATCCCCCCATTCAGACAGTCACGAGCTTGACCACTATAACACCCCCAAGTGCGATGAGATTGGCGGATATCCGAGGTACCCGCCGACACCGCCAGGGTTTTTCCCTACATCAAGGCTTAACCCTCTCAAGGTTGTTAAGCATGATTCAAGCCACAAACTCAATTTCCAGTGCATGCCAAGGCTTGGTGCTCCAGTCGCCAAGTATATGCCAAGCGAGTCCTTCAGTCGCAGTGGTTCCGAACCAAGACACCCAAGACACCCCGTGGACTTGGTACTATTACGACTACGACTACTACTCCGTACTGAAATGACCGGCTCTCAGCGCTACAGCCTTCGCGGCCAATAATGATAACAGGGTCTCCTGCCATGATGACCCATCAATGGACTGACTGGCCCAGGCAGTTTCTTCGGTGTCCTCGGCACGATACCGCCACGCATGTTCTGGGGCTGGGCAGCGCTTTTCTGTCACGATGGGATTGTCTCTCTGCGGCGAGTCAGTGTCAACTTATTCCATGCCACACCAGATGCGTAGATGGCAAGTAATAATATCACCATCCGAGAGTAATCCTATTCCTCTGCCAAAGCGATTGAAAATCCACCATAATGCTCAAGACATCGCATCTTGGGGATGAGATTGTTGATGGTCTTCAATCTGTGCTTTGTATCGTCTCGGAAGGTTCGGTTGATATGTTGGCACCAATCTAACGTCCGCGACCTGAAATCCAAAAGTGCCGTATGCAGCTTCTCTTTTGACACAAGACACAAGACACAGTTATGCATCAACCGAGGAGGAAATCTTGGTATGGACCATCTGCATGTTACGGCACACAGTACTCCGTATTCTCAATGTCGGTGAAATGGCAGCCTAAACCTGCTTCGGCGTCCCGCCCCCGATCGGGTAGCACAGTCGCGCGAAATCCCTCGCCGCTTTCACAACGCCTATATATATCGGACACCCGCCCGTCTGCCGCGTTCCTACTTATCTTTACTTATTTTTCGTGACTATTACACGACACGGTATCCGTCTAAACCTCGATTCCGATCCCTTTCTTCTACACCCCCTTCCTAGTCTACCTCATTATCTAATAGCGAAAGTCCCGTAAGTATGGCGTCACGTCGATTCTAGATTTCTCCGTCCCTCTCGGGTCCGCCGACCGGGACTCGTTATAGGTAAACGGCTAGCTCTCGAATCGCTCTAGTTCTCCTATATTTACCTTCTAGAACGAGTCTGTACGTCGAGCCAGCCTTAGGTATATTCCTCTTCGGTGTCACGAATCTGTTAGGAGCCTAACCCAAGAGGAGGAATACTGACACCCCCAAGCTGTTTAGAAGGAAGGTGGACCGAGACCAGAGGCACGTGGGGTCACGTGGCCTGAGGATGATCTGTGGCTCTGGGTGCTCTAGAGAGAGCAACAGAGCAGGACAGAGCAAGAGTGACCTGTGGCTCTAGGTGCTCTGGAGAGAGCAACAGAGCAGGACAGAACATCATGAATTCCCTATGTCTATATAGTCGTGGGCTTCACCCACCTTTCATAGCCTTTCTTCGTAGTCAACTTCGTTCACAAACTAGGTGATACCTTTCATCAATAGTTTTCGTTCTGAATACAGACACCCTTGCTCTAGCATACGCATCGAGACCTCTTCTTCCACTTATCAGTACCACTGATCGAACACGTGACTCCTTGAGGAACGTTTCGTGACACGAGGATCAACCAAACGTATGTGCAAAATATGATATGAATTCAAAGACGAAGGAGTCTACAAAGAGAGAGCGGTCCTGCTCGAGACGAGATATGTAGGAGCCTCGCAGTGTCTTGTCACGTGCGAGGCTACGCCAAGCCTTCGTCCTGTCATGTGGCTAGCCACGTGACCGCAAATCGACATGCCATCCGTGACACCAGCAGAGGACACGACAAGGAACTACCCAACAAGGAGGTATAACGACCATATGGAACGGAAGCACGTGACATGATCAGTGGGATCAGTGTGCTCAGTACGGAGCACACGGAGCACAACAGAGCAGGACAGGAAGTCAGGACTATATAGCCACGCTCCTTTCCCAGATATTAGTTAGGACCTTCATGGTCAACTTCGCTCTACCTCTGAGCATTAGGCTCATAGGAGCCTGAACCATGACTCCACAGGGAGTGCCTGGTAGAATACACTCATTCCGCATTAATGTTTCCCTCTTTTCAAGACCCCTACTGTTAGGAACCTAACCCAGGGAAGGGAAATCTGACCCCCCAGGACTGCTCAGGAAGGAAGGAGAACCGAGACCAGGATCACGTGGGATCACGTGATACGGAAAGAGCACTCTGTGGCTCTGTGGCGCTCTGGGGACAGAGCGACAGAGCAGGACAGAGCATCATGAATTTCCTATGTCTATATAGTTGTGGGCTTCACCCACCTTTCATAGCCTTCCTTCGTAGTCAACTTCGCTCACAAACTAGGTGATACATTTCATCAATAGTTTTCGTTCTGAATACAGACACCCTTGCTCTAGCATACGCATCGAAGCCTCTTCTTCCGCACGTCAGTGAACCCAACTCGAACACGTGACTCCTTGAGGAACGATTCGTGACACATTGACGCTAAGACTCACCGCTTTCCCGGATCAGCCTAGTCGGGTTTGCGTAGTAGCAAATCATAGCGAGCCAAGTCTTGGCTCAAACCGTGGACATTTTGGACATTTTGGACATTTTGACATTTCTTTGTAAAGACACTAATCGACATCCCGGCGTGGTGAAACGCCCTGCGTAGTGGAATAGGGGGGCGATACTTCGACTTCCTCCACGTCGTGACCGCCACACACGGAGTTCATCAGCGATCTAAATATAACCGGTTGCTGAGAAGCCTCGAAGCTCTTATAAATACTATCTCTATTTAAAAAATACACGATATGGACTCTGTTGACGCTCGGTTTCGTCAGCCAGGTGAAAAAGTACAGAAACCGTCTACTGCCTCTAGAGAGTGTAATACCAGCTTGTGTAGCTATTTAGCATAACATGAATAGAATATACCAATCTGAGAATCTTAGTACTGATTATTATTTTAGGAGCCACCACTGCCCACGATATGTGCTGCCATATCCCGCCACAGACCACCCTGGTTAGGTACTCTACACTGATCGACAAACAGCCGAGGACCGACCCGAGAACGGCGCGGCGTAAATAACCCGTAAAGAGGCAGCCCACTGTTGTGGCTCAAAGCCCCCGCCCCGTGGCTAGTGGTATCTTGCCGCCTTGAACACACACTGCTGGAATACGACACGTGATCTCAATCAACGGTCGCATTTCCAGCTGCGCCCCCCTGGGTGAAACATGGTGTAGCCTCTACGCCGCACCACAGCCTAAGCGCCTAGTAGCTGAACTGCCTGAGGCTGTCAAGATGCCGCTGTTCCCGCAGCCTGATGCTGTCCTTCATGCTGCACTGGTACACTCTCCACGAGTCAGCCCGTCGCAGTCGACATTGATAATATTGCAGTACCGTGATTCTAATACTGGCAGCGTCTGAATGCTTCCTCGGTCCGGCAGCCTAGCCTATTAACTCGATCCTTGCCATGGCGCTGTCCGTCGTGTACGCTCCTAACGATGTAATAACACCAGCTACCGTCGAGTGAGTCTGAAAATACCGCCGGTGATGAAATTCCCCTATTCTATGAGGATCACTAACTGAGGCTTCCACCACAGCATCGTGGCCGTCCATGGCCTCGGCGGTGATGCCATCGACACCTGGACGCACCCGAGATCGAAAGCGTTCTGGCTGAAAGATTTCCTCCCGCCACTCGTCCCTGATGCTCGCATTATGACCTTCGGTTACAACGCCGCTGCCGCATTTGGACAGTCAACCGCGGAGGTGATTGACCATGCGAAAAGCCTGCTGAGTAGTTTGGTGGATAAGAGAGAGGAGCCCGAGGTATAGGACCAGCACGACGCGTGTGTGAAGATGATATTGACCCTGGTTAGGAGGTTCAGCGCCCCCTGATTTTTATCGCACACTCGCTCGGTGGCATCGTGGTGAAACAAGTATGTCGGTGCTGGGACTGTCGATGAAAGATCTCGGCGGTTGATGATCTTTTAGGCTCTGCTCCAAGCCCGGCTGGAGCCGCTGTACGAGTCGATCAAGGAGGCGACGCTGGGCCTCATCTTCCTGGGCACGCCTCATCGGGGTAGCGACAAGGCGACGTATGGCAAAGTACTGGCGAACGTCGCCCAGTTTGTGAGCCATCGACCCCCCGCGCGCCTATTGACGGCCCTCCAAACGAATTCGGACGTCTTGCTGCGGTTGACGAGTGATTTCAAGTTTCAGCTCCCCGACTATCAGGTTTACAGCTTTTATGAGCAGCGACCGATGAAAGGTCTTTCGAGTCTAGTAGGAGTTGTCACCACGCGATCTCGAGATTTGATGGCTAACTCGGTTCAGATCGTGGAAAAGTATTCCGCTTTACTTGAAGTGGCCCACGAAGAACAGATCCCGGTAGACGCCGACCATAGTGCGATGTGCAAGTTCGACATAGAGGAGGATCCTACCTTCGAGAAGGTGTACAAGAGGGTGAAGAGAATAAGGAAGGATCCACAGACCGTCACAGGTGGTAATCCGCGTATGTCGTGATAAGCATCCTGCGGAGAGAAGATATAGTTAATGATACATTATGTCTCAGGTTTCAAGAACACACACTTTGACGTCCCTCATCTATTGAGCCCGGCCTTTACTGGACGTGATGAGGATCTTCGGTGCCTCACCGCGTCGTTCGCTGCGAGATCACCGTCGCAGACCGGCTCTCAACGGCGGTTTGTATTCTTTGGGCTGGGAGGCTCGGGCAAGACGCAGATCTGTCTCAAATACATTCAAGATCAGCGGGAGAGGTATATTCCGTGCTCATATAGTGGTGCTCTACTCCACTCTCTCTACCTTTCTATCCCTCTACCTCTCGGACTAATGCGCGTCGTGAATCAGATACTGGGGTATATTCTGGGTAGACGCTAGCACCGACGAATACATCCAACGGTCCTTCGCCCAATTTGCCCGCATACTCCAGGTAGACGAGAATATCGACAGCGTCAAAAGGAAACTCGCCAATAGCGCGGAAGCCTGGCTTCTCGTGTTCGACAACGCCGACGATCCTAATCTCGGTCTTGCCCCCTACCTCCCGGCGGGAAATCGAGGCGACATCATCATCACTAGTCGTAATCCCCAATGTCAACACTACAATACAGTGGGATATCGGGAAGTAGGTCAACTACCGCTACCTGATTCCATCTCGCTCCTCGACAAGACTATCTATGGAACGGAAAATCCGCCGGAGGGAGCCACGGACACGAGTAAGAAGATTGTCGAGGCTCTAGGCCGTCTCGCGCTCGCCATTGTCCAGGCCGGCGCTTTCATTCGCGAGACCGCATGTTCGCATCGCGAGTATCTAGAAATTTACCAGCGTCGCCAAAAAGATCTCCTTCTGCGTCACCCGACCCACGCTGGCACGGACTACCAATACAGCGTATACGCGACATGGCAAGTATCGGTGGACATGATCGCGTCGAGGCACGGCCGGGTGGGTGATCATACTCTGCGGTTGTTGGATCTTCTGGGGTTCTACCACCGTGACCAAATTCCTATTCAGATGTTTTACTACGCCGGAGATCAATCGCGGACGGCCCGGGTCCCCGAAGGGGTACCGTGGCGCGACATGATTTCGGACCTCTCTGACTATCGGCAAGCGGTGCGAGCATCCATGAGCTTACTGGCATCGTTTTCGTTGATCACGAGAAACGCAGACTCGTCCGTCTCTCTCCATCTTCTCGTTCACGAGTGGTGTCGGGACCGTCAGTCGGATGAAGAGCGACAGGTCAACTACCGAAGGGCCGTGTCGCTGTTGGCTCGGTCCGTAAAGTGGGAATTCGCCAGCGACGACTACACTTTTCGACGGTCGTTGGTGTCGCACGTGCAGGAGCTCCTTCGGGTGCCGGATGCGGAGAACGCGTTGAGCGAGGAAGAAAAGATGGAGGTCTGGCCCGTGCTGGATCTTATTCTGGCAGATAATGGATGGACAAAATATGCTCCACCCCTCA